AATAGAAATACAGATGGATCCAGGAATGGTGAGTTAGGTACCGGTCAAAGTTATGGTGTTTGTAAGATGGGCAAGATGGACATTTGTGGGCGCATAGGTCTCAAATATGACCTCCACAGGGATTCCATGGACCTGTCCTGCGTTTGTTTTCTGGCCTAATTCGTATGAGATATCTGGACTTTTTAAGATCGTACACCAGGTTTCCAGCCAAAGGGTGGGACGTCACGAGAAGGGTTGAATTCCTAAAGGAAGATTTGCCCTCAGCCGTGAGCACGTTCCAAACCCACCTTGGGTTCTTCCCATTAGTCACAGCAATGTCCTTCGCAGAGCGATTGGGAAGAGTGACACGGTCCGCCCATGACAAAGTGACCGGGGAAATTCTTGGGACGTTCATGGCAAAATGCGAAGAGCACGCAGCTCAAGGGTTTTGTTCCTGCACAGTTTCCTTCACAAAACCCAGCTGCTTTGATCAGCAGCTTCCTGATTTGAAACAAAGGCTGGAAGACATGGCCTTTGAGTCATGTCACGTTCAACAATTTCTGAAGCGCTTCGAAATCCAAGCTGTTTGGAAGGTGGGGCCTCCAGAGCCTAAGAAGCGCCGAAAGGATCCCCATGGCACCACTGGCACTTGTCCCGTGTGCCTGGAAGATCAACCAGTCGTCGCCCTCACACCATGCGGGCACGTGGTGTGCAAACAATGCCAGGCATCACATCAGTTTCAACAGTGCCCGATGTGTCGCTTGGATATCACTGGAGCCACCCAGGCCTTGTTCCTGTGACATTCTGTGACCACAAGAACTGATATGAAAAGCGCTGGTCATTTTGCTTGGTGCTCTCTGCCATCAGCTTTTCTTGTGTATGTTTTTTAGTGGATCGAAATCGCTTACGATCGAATCAGAAATACGAAATCGGTGATTTGGCACAAGGAGTAGAGTCGCAACAACATTTGAATGTATACAGATGCAGTTCAACACCCACAAGAGGTCTGTTGGACTTGACAGCTAGTTCAGAGGCAAGCCAGTTGCATAGCCGGAAAAGAGGAGCACCCGCTGGTTCCGGCTGATTTATCGTGGCTGAAAACTGCATGACAAGCATGCAACAAGGCATAGGTGTGTCGTCCCAGACCCCTACTTATCGTCAAACTCACAAGAATTCTAAAATAGGAGCCACTTATTCTGGATTTGGAACAAGTTGTATGAGCAGCTCTCAACAAGACAATAAATGCACTTTCCCAGAACCTGGAGGATACGCCCCAAACCATCCCCAAACCATCCCCAAACCGGTGGGGTTCTCGATTGTTTTCCAGGGGGATCGGTAGATGTTGAAATGAGGCCAGACCTCCCCGACCTGCGGCTTCCTTGGGTCCGGGCAGCTGGCCGTGGGTGTGGATCACCATTTTTAGACCCAGGACATCCCAGGACATCGTAAGGTGAAACATGTTGTAAAAGGACCGGAAGATGGTTGTTAGCATCAAACACTTTGGGGCCAGAACTGGGGTCAGAACTGGGGTGGAACTCTTGAACTCAACATGCCTGGACGGACTAAAAATGGGAGTCCAATGGCCCTACAGGATTGAGTTCAGATTAACCCCCACTGTATGACCAACACGAATACAACAGGTAAACAAGATTATCGATTATCTACCCATTCAACATCAATTTGGATTCGTTGCCCTTCAATATCATACATTCACATTCCTTTGGATTTCGGATGTTTATTGGGCTCCTTTCTTTGATTTTCTATAGATTTCTGTTGATCCTTTCCCGGCCTGGGCCTGGGCCAATCGTTTTTCTGCTAAGATCCACTGCATCATCAGCTTGGTGACCCTGTCAGGCAGTGTACTGATGGGCGGCGAAGGGATAAACTGGATAAACGATGATGGAATTGGAACGAAGTCATCATGATCCCTTCACCATGTTAAAACCATATTTTTTTTGAATAGATTGTCACCAATGTGGATTATACACCATTTTTTATATATTATAAATATCCGCAATACATATTACTGTATACAATTTGTTTCCCATAATATAAATCTCCCGAAGATGTGTTTTTTATTTTAGATACGCGATGTCAAATCTTACAGGAAAGCGTTTTGAAGCCTTTCCTGCTGGGCCGCAGGGATTTGCACGGTCTTTGTAGTTTCAAACAACATTTTCAATAGTAGGGTTTCCAGGCGGGGCAGGGGTCAAAATTAAGGGCCCCCCCAAGAAATGGATGATTCATTCAAGAGCAATTAACCATTCTTTTTCTGTGGCTATGGGGCAGACCTTGAATGTTCACCTTGACCGTTGCCGACCCTGCCAGGTCCAAAGCTCTTCAGCGGCCGGGCTCTGAGCTGACTGTGGTTTGAAAGGGATCGCAGCTGAAGACCGTCGTTGGAATAATCGGAACTTTGGAATGGTATTTATAAAATATTTTATAGTTAGATGATCGAATTCAATTACGAGCTGCATTTTGCAAGTATTTACAAGCAGGATGAACCACTAAATTTCACTAAATGCTTTTGGACATTTTGGGATGGCTCCAGTCTGTAGTGCAATGATATCCAAGTCTTGGGGCAGCTGATCCGCTGGGCTCAGGTAGCAAGGGCAAGGAGTTTGAGCAGCTGATTGCGGGAGCATTGGACTTTGCCAATGACCTGCAGTTTGAGGGTGGGGGACGCCCAGAAGCAAAAGCCAAGGGGTGGAAGGGTCAGTCCAAAACCACAGCTAATCTACTTCAGGTGGAAGCCCGGAAGCCCTTGAGGCTTAAGATTGATTTTAGCAAACAAACCTCCAGGTGGTGCATCCTCACCAAATATCCAGATAGGTTGGAGATGGTTGGAGACTCCTTGAGCCACGAATCGTCCCAGGTCGCATGAAGATCCAAAGCGGAGCGACTGGTTTGGTGCTGTGCTGAGGTGCTGTGAAGGTACATCCTATTTGCAGCCGAAGAAATGCACATCACCCTGCCGTGCATAGGATTGTGGCGAGACGATTTCAACTGATGTTACAACTTGGGGCCCACTCAAGCAACGATTCAAAACACTTCACCTCGATGCTGAGGTTCTGGATTTGGAGTGTCAGCAGGCAGGGATGCAAGGAGTATGTGAAGCTTCTCTGTCAGCAGATTGTTCTGGCATGTAGTTTCAGGAATGCAGTTGCAATGGCACCTTTTATTTGACATCGCATTTTGTTGCAAATTGTAGACGGAGAGTTCCGAAGACTGTCCTGGCCCAGCCACAAATAAGTGCCAAGGAGTCCTAAAGGCTCTAAATTTGCGCAGGATGTAATTGCTCGAATTGTTTTTCCTCAGTTTGATTTTGTCCTTCCTTCTTGTGAGCTACTCAACACCATGCATCCTTGTTGGATGTGCAAAAGTGCCTTGAAGCCCCCGAGACATAAACACAAAAGGGTCTAGAACACAGTGAGCCAGAGCAGTATCTCTAACCCCCAATTCGCCCCCAACAACATCCCGAGAACCCCGCAGAATACGAAACAGCAACGAGCAGCACCTTTGCCATCAATTGCAAAACTCTCCCAAATGCGAAAAAAGACAGGAAAGTCACAAGAAGAAGGGGCACAGCAAAAGCTGTATCATGAGCAAGGGGTTACCCCCCCAAGTGACCATCAAGTGTTGTGAATGTTGTTGACAAAGATTTGGCATTCTACCGGATGTCTCCAATCAACGAGTTGATGCAATGAGATATGACTTTGATTCGCCCTAACTCGCGTTAGCTTGCTTTCACCTTCCCTGGCTGCAGCCGTGAGTCTCTTGCAAATCGACGCCTCGCCTTCCATTCGATTTGCTTATTCAATGTCCTTCGCGCAACAGTTGGGAAGAACCTCCATGTCTATCCAGGAGAAGTTACTCCAGGACATCACTGAGAAATTCAGGGCAGATTGTCAAGCGAGATCAGCTCAGGGCTATTGTTCCTGCGATGTATCCTTTAGCAAACCAGACTACTTCCATGCTCAGAGTTGGGACACCTTGAGGCAAAGGCTTAAACAACTGGGCTTTGAGGATTCTGCTGTGTCAAGTACGCAGCACAAGGGACACCAACAAGTCCGGCTCTGTGCAAAATGGAAATTGGAGCCTGAAGAGCCAGAGGAGACCGTAAAGGAACCGCAAGGCACCAGCAGCACGTGTCCAGTTTGCCTTGAAACTCGACCAGTGGTTGTCCTGACACCATGCGGACACGTGGTGTGCCATCAGTGCCAGAGATCTCAGCGATTTCGTCAGTGCCCAATGTGCCGAGTTGATGTCGCGGGAACTACGCAGGCCTTGTTCCTTTGACCTTGGTTGCATGACAAGGCGTAGCAATAGCTGGTATGGAAGCATGGCCCATTTCAATCTGGGCTTACTGCCACCAACCAGCTTTGCTTGTGGATGGTTGGTGATGTCTTGGAAGGGCTCCTTTCAATTTTGGCGATCTGATAGCAGCATCTATCCCTGACTGGCAACTCCATTTAGTCGGCAGAGATAGTTTTTGATGATGTGAGAATGTTGAGCCATTTGAATTCAAGTTTGGCACCGCGAGCATGTTCATAGCAACATGCAACATACAGGTTTAGTTAGGTTTTAAAGCCCATAAGAGGCGAACAGAGCACAAAGCGAGGGTAAACTCTGTGCGATGAAGAAACATCCAAAGCTCGGTGCAACTCGTGGCTTAGCATATTTTGTTGTTGACCGTTGCTAGGGTCCTTGCTTATCAATAAGTTCCAGCAAGTGCGCGGTTTGCAAGAGCCCTTCCTTCCTTCCGTCCTTCCGGCCTTTGATCTTTGCTCCATTCTGGCTTGTGTTTGATTTTCGAAACATCTAGTGTGGACCAGCTTTGACAATAAATCTTCGATATGTTTCTAAACCAATACTGGTAGCTGTTGTGTTTTTCACTTGATCCATCTCCTCAGAATGCCTTTGCAGTTTGGTGGTTGTCGGATTCCGGACCAGCTTAAACCTGAGTAAAAGCGTGTTGCAGCTGCGTTCCTCTTCCAAGCCGACGCGCCTTGCATTCCGTTTGAGTTTGAAGTGTTGCTCCAATGTCCCTCGCCCAAGAGTTGGCAGCATCTTCGATGTCTGCCCAGGAGACGTTCTTCAAGGAAACCGTGCAGAAATTCACGGCAGAGTGTAAACATCAAGCAGCGAGAGGATTTTGCAGCTGCACGATGCGGTGTCACAAACCGAGTTACGTATCCCAAGAAAGTCTTGAGATTTTGGCACATAGGCTGCACGAACTTGGCTTGGTGGATGTCTATGCAAGAGATTGCGGTCTCCAAATTGGTCCCCAAATTGAGTATATTGAGTTGACCGCCAGATGGAAGTTGAAGCCTGCAGAGCCCGAGAAGACCGGGAAAGGCACCAGCAGCACTTGTCCAGTGTGCTTCGAGAACGGTCCCGTCGTGGCCCTCACACCATGCGGACACGTGGTGTGCAAACAATGCCAGGCAGCTCAGCGATTTCGTCAGTGCCCCATGTGCCGCCAGGTCGTCACCGGAGCCACAACGGCTTTGTTCTTGTGACCTTGGTGGCAGCAACAAAACATAGCAACAGCTGTCATGGAAAGTGTGGCGCATTTTGCTCCTGGCTTTCTGGCACCAGCTTTGCTTGCGGATGGATTTCGATGCCGTCATAGTTCCTTTCGGTTTTGCTGAGAGCACAGTGATCAGCATCTATGTATCTCTGACTGGCGCGCCCAATGAGCCAGTAGAGATAGTGTTTAATCATGCGGGACTGTCAGTCAAGTGGATTTGCTACCTTGAGCATGTTCACAGTATGCGGCATGAAGGGTTATTTCAAAGCCCATAAGAGGCTAGCACAGAACAAAACAGCAAACGATGATGAACCCTGCGAGGAAAATGACTTGACAGCTGCACTGCCAACAGTAGTTCCCGAAAAGAGACAAAGAAATGCGGTGGAGATAGCTTTTGTTTCGCAAGGACATTTTATTTGTTTGAATCTCTTTGTTTACGTTTACGGTCGAGGATCTGGATCTTGCTATGTTTTTGCTTTGTGGTTTATGCTTTGTGTCTAAGTTTTGGGGAAGTTTTATCAATTCGAGAGCATGCAAACGCAGCCGCAAGGATCGGAAATGAAATGAAATATAATGAAATGAACAAATATGCATGCGATGGTTGCGTCGGCTGAAGTCTGTAGAGGGGCGCGGTGTTCTGTAGCAAAACAGCAAAGCCTGAATGCATCGGGAGTGTTCCTGTCCCCAGCACGAGAAACTGAACAACAAAAATACCTAAAGTGTTGCGGGTGCTGCGCTTGCCACGCAACATGACGTCCCCTAATGTTAGATTCTGTGCCTGCTACGGAAATGATGTTCTTCCGATGTACTTGCCTGCCACACAATTTGCACTTCCTCGCTCCTTCACGCAGCAGTTCCCGCCTCTGATTCGCAAAGAACACATTGGGGCGTTGCAGTGATGCCGCCGCCATCCCAAAAGTAGTTTTGAGCAGAGGTGCTACATGAGGTTTTGGTCAGGCCCGGCACGGTTCTTGCAGGTTCAAGGGGTTCAAAAAAGGTATAAAAAAGGTTTTAAATATCAGGGTTTTGGTAAAGTTCCTGTCAGGTTCCCATCAAGTGCACGTCAAGAATTCCTTGAAGGTTGTCGTGACTTTCTAGAAGGGTGTCAGCAAGCTTCAAGAAGGTTCATACAGGAATTTGTTGAGGTTTTGTGAGAAGGTTGTGTCCAACAAAGCGGTGAACAAAAGGTTGCCACAAATGTAAAGATCGCAAGATTGTGGGATGGTTGGGGCATGATTTTGAAAGTCGTACACCAATGTGCTACCAGATGGTTCGGAGATGTTTCTGTTGGGTTTCAGTCTCTGGACGTGGTAGTGGTACGTTGAAACCTTGGAACCTTGAAACCTGAAGCGTCAAACCTTGGCACCATGGAACGCAGAACCTGGAAGCCAAGACCTTGCGAACCGGAACACTGGAACCAACCCTAGGCGGCTCCGAAACCACAGAACAAAAAGTAGACCAGATATTCATCTTGACAAACAACATCAAACAACATCCAAAAAGTATCCAAGCTTGTGAGGATTTTTTAAAATGATTGAGCATTTTGATAGAGCAGTGATTAATACATGCCATGCACCTGAAAAGGAATGTCGGTTGTTGGCACGCGCCGCAAGCAGCTTCCAACCAAACAATATGTGTCGGATTTGTTATTCAGGAACAATAACTTCAGCTTGCAGCTTGAAAGAAACCATCACATGCAACAAGACTTTTTTTTGCTCACCGTGCTGGGTTGCCAAGCTTGGTTAATTGGATTTCAGACCAGTCCTAAACCGATCAGCATTTCACCTGCAGCCTTCAGCCTCTTCCGAAGTTGACGCCCTTTGCATTCCCTTCAAGTTGTCGATTCAACGATTCCAATGTCTTTCGCGCAGCAGTTGGGCCGGGTCACAAGTTCTGCTCGTGACAACTTTGTGCAGGAAACTCTTCAGCGTCTCATGGTAGAGTGTCAGAATCATGCAGCTCAGGGGCTTCGGGAGAGTTTTCTTGCACTTGAGCAGCCCTCATATTTTCACGAGCAGAAAGCTGCTTTGCAGGGAAGGCTCGATGCCATGGGCTTTGACACTTGTCACATTCATGAATACGACGACTTCTCGACCCACCGGGCCATGTTCGAGATCCAGGTTGTTTGGAAGGTAGAGTCTCCAGAGCCCGAGGCTGTGTGGCAACAAGGCACCCATCAATTTCGACAGAGCCCAATGTGCCGCCAGGGCACTCGAGCCCCGAAGGCCTTGCCATGGTGAAACCTGTGGCAGCAACGAGGCATAGCAATGGCTGATGTGGAAAGTGTGGCGCGTTTTGTTCCGGGCTTTCTGCAACCAGCTTTGCTTCGCCATCACAAAGCGCCATCGCAGGGCTCCTTGCAGTTTTGCTGAGACCACAGTAGCATCTATCCTTGACTGGCGCGTCCATTTCGCCGGAAGGGATAATTTTTAAAAAGGTTCATGATGTGAGAATATGGATTCACATTGAGTCATGCGCCCTGAGCATGTTCACAGAAAACATGCAGCACAGATGTTTATTTGAAAGCCCAGAAGAGGCAACACAGAAGCGCTGGCAAACTCTGCAAGCAAAAAAACTCCAAGTGCCAGTGTCTTCTGACGACAGCATGCTACTGCCAATGATTTGTGGAACCATGTCAGTGTGACCCAGCTGAAGCTGAACTAACTCAAAAAGAATGAAGGCTTGTTTTCATGTCGCACTGCACTTGACGCACCAGGCTGTGTATGACTCACCCAAGTCTTGAGACTTATCTCCCATTTGTTACTTTCAATCAGAATCTTTGAATTTGTCACCCAAGTCGAAGCATCGGTCCTTACCCAGTCAACAAGCGACAGGCGCTTGGAGCAGTCTGCAGCCTCAGAAATGATTCAATTGCATAGAGACCAGCCATCTTCGTGATGTTTTGTTTCTTTCTTGAGCCCCTTGAAGTGCGACAAGTCGCAATTTCCCACACATGATGGCACAGGCACTCACAACCATGAACCATACGTGTTAACCTGTGGATCATTTCTCACTCGATTCATGGCACTTGGAAACCCAAGGCGTTGGCGCCCTTCAGCACCAAATCCAACCATTTCAATGTCTTGAAGTCGAAGCAGGGAGACCTGGAGACCTTGGAAAAAGAACACATTTTGCACATGATGGACAGTGACGTGTCCAGATACTTTCATTCCATGGACTATCACCCAATATCACCCAACATGGGACCACAGTCAGATCTGAGGAATATGAAATATTGAAATATGACAAAAGACGCAAATGAACACATCACCAGCCATAGAAGATGCACACATCCCGTTGAGTCTTGGTGTTGGTAGCTGATGTGATCCCAGGAAAAAACCATGAAGGTCAATGAAGGTCACAATTCTATAGTGCCACCTTTCCCTGCTTTGTAAAGTATCCGAGTTCACCAGGTCAGAAGTCACAACAGGATTCCGTGGGGCTGCTGGCCTCAGCAAGCGCTGGCTGTTCCAAGGTTCACGCTCTACTTGTTGGCTCTGATTTGCAGTGCCACCTGACTTAGAATTGCTGGATGGCAGTTCGCTGACCAGACCTGTTTGGGGACATTCTTTCCGTCGTTGACCAGTTGTGCCTGCAAAATATGTTGTCTTTGGAAACCTGAGGATCCATGGCCAATTGAACGGGGAGCATGATGCAAAACACGAATCACTGAGTCCAGGGAAAACCATTTTTCTCAATCCTCTGGATCAGTTTGGCGACTGCTACGTTGATCCTGGTTTGAGCACTTTGCTTTGCTCATACTGGATGAGATGGATGGCATCAACATCAATGATCAAGTATGGGTTCTGTGCCCATTTTGCGTTGATAAGATGTCACTACGAAACCACCCCCCACATGGTGTGCCGAGGCTCCCACAGTGGAGCTGCGCAAGGGCGCCTGCGACTACCTCTGCGAAATGTTGCAGAAGGGCACACAGCTGGAAGCCTCAGAAGCGGCCCTTTAGTGGTGGATTTTCTTTCGCAGCTGTGGATCTTGGTGACGAAAGGATTCTCAAATGGATGGGATAGTTTCATCTGTATTATATATACATATATATATATGTCTATATATATAATATGTATATATATATATATATGTGCAGCTGGGTGGTTGAACATCTTGCAACGCCTGAAAACACCACTGAACTGCAAGGAAAGCCTGCAGCTTGCAGAGGGACTGTGTGGGTTGATGTTTCAATTCCGAGGTCATACCTTGCGGGTGCAGCTTTCTTGAAGGCAAACTGCCCGGAAGCTTGGTAAAGCCTGCGGGGCAATTCCTGGATTTTGAACACTCATGAAACTGATATCTCATTTCTTCAAAAAAAGGGGACCTGCGATGACACCTTTTACTTGATTGATTTTTATTTGTTATGATTGATCCAAACCAACCCAACAAGACGGACCAACCAATGGGGTGTCAGAATGTTCTGGAAGCCAAGGTCTGCAAGCCTTCCGCCGCATTTTGACAGGGCCCCTGGATGTCCTGGTCTTAACGCATGGTCAAAACTCCAGTGAGGTCGATGTTTTTGTTGACGCATGCTTGGCTGCTTTCACATGAAACGGAGGAGACATAAATAGTTTTCATCCGAATTTCCAAGCCGATTGTTTTTTTCCATTGAACTTCCTGCTTGAGCAGGTGGGGCCAGACACAGGTTCCCAGACTTTGTGGCATTCTGCTAGTGCTCTCAGCCCAGCAGATCCCTCAGGATTTGGCAGCGGCTACCTCCAGGATGATGATCGCCCTATCGAAGAGTTGCTATGTCCGGGGCACCCAGAACCTGGATGGAGCCCGGTGGATGCTTGGGAACGATGCCACTAGGTGCCAGGTTGATAAAGCCCAAGACCAGTTGATGTATCAAGGGCTGTTTATCCTGGAATGACCCCCACGTATCTGGGAAGTTGTATGGAAGTTGTAAGGCGCTGATATCAGATTTGCATACAGTAGATTTGCACTCACCTCTTTGTAGTTTACCAGGGTTCTGGAAATGGGTGTACTGCAGAAATTCTATGCAGGAAAATTGTTTTGCGCCATCCGCACTGACGTGCAAATGTGCAACAACCGTGGCACGTGCATGGGGGCAGCTGCCGAGGATGTCCATGTGCATATGCTTGATATCTTGGAGACAGCTTGGAGCTTGGAAAGAGAGGGTGGTTGGGCTGGAAAGAACGGCGCGTTCACGTTCTTTGGTCCTTATTCCAAGCGTTCTTCGCCAGCCTGGGTCACGCTTTGCAGCCCACTGAACAACTTTCATGTTTCAAACCTAAGATAAACAAGAAACAAAATAAACAAACCTTCCATCCAGTCTGAACTCTTGGGTAATCTCGGTAATCTCCACATTCTTCCCAGTAGCTTCCAGCTGGTGACAGGTGCTGGCCGCCATTGGAAATCCGGCATCAGGATCTCTGAGAGTCAGGACCTCAGTGGGGGATTGATATCTTCGATTTGGTTTTGCACTGTGATGATTTGCGGGCAATGCACATGCCAAGACTAGACTCCACTGCGACTTGGGATACCCGTTTTGAGGTGATTTCGCTGTCGGAGCTCTTTGTGGTCAGGGAAGCCCAGTGGCAGGGGGCGCCATGGTGGTCAGGGGGTGGGTTTAGGTGGTTTTAGTTGGGATACCCAGACCTCTGGACAGCTAACATCTAAAGACATCATGGCCATAGCGGGATCTTCCCCCTGCAGGCCTTGAGTGGCGAACGCACCTTGGAAGCGGCAGCCCCAAGGGACAACCCCAGTGTCGGAACAGTACAGGGAGATATATCCGCGACATTCCGCGACTGATCTTCAAATAGATTGCTATGAGTTTTCACCACACAGATTGATTGGGGCATACATTTTCAATTAATCAACCACTCTGCAAACGCACCAATTTGCTTTCAGGTCTTGAGCGTGCGGTGCTCAGCCAATCAGTGGATGTGGATATGGACTAAACTCCCAACAACATTTGGAAAACTCTGGAATAGTCAACTTGTGTTCTCAACAAACTTCACTCCCCAAGTGTCTCTCAGCCTCATCGTGACGAACATGTGCCTTTCCAGATCAGAATCAGCGGGTTTCAGCTCGACGACTGTTGGGGCGCAAACATTGCCGACGGGACCCACATGTTTGGTCAATTTGAGCAGTAAACATCAGTAAGCGATCCCACTGTGGTAAGATGTGGGTTAACCATCCTTATTTGGTGGTTTCTTAAATGGGGGATACCAAATTGCCATGGCTTTGAATGGGAAGTCATGGTCTAATGATGTCTAATGAGCCCCATGACCGCAGGGCATCATCGAGCTGCCCAACATCATGGCCTTCCTGGGCCTGGCTCGGTCGTCCGTGTCCTCACGTCAACGGCCCAGATGGGGCACGGATGGGGGGTGTGTCACCCTTGATCGGAGATGACAGTGGGAAATCCCCATTGGAATGAATCTAAATGAAACGTGATTCAACTATAGACTATAAATGACTATAAAATCTATAAAATCCATAAACTAGATGTAGCTTATTGATGCTTATTGTAGCTTGTTTTTTTTCATAGCCAGGTACTATTGATATGTGCCGTGTTTTTTTTTCCATGGCCAGGTGGGATTACCAGAGGGTGATTGGAGCATCTGCCCCTGACCTTGGGAGTTGTTAAACTAATTTGTGGAGTGTTGTTCCTATCTTTGAGGATGGGTCAATACCTATGGGCCTATGGGACCTTTTTTGGAAGGACGAACATCCATTACATAAAAACATCCAATTTACCTGCTATAAATAGCAGCTATTTTGATGTGAAATCCATGGCACTGATGGGGCTTTGAAGCATGGCCCTTCGAGTCGTCAGCTGAAGAGACCAGTCCAGAGACCAGGTCGGGAGTTGGTACAGAGATGGTGCGGCGCCCAAGATGCTGTGGCAATGCCACTGAGACGTTGTGATCACCAATGGTTGGTTATGGGGGGCTTTGCACATCCCCAATAAGCTCCAAAGGAGGTCAACAGATAGTTCTGTCTACAGACCTATAGATAAATCTTCTACATAAATCTATAAATCGACTAAATATACGTATATTTAAAAATACCTTCCCGGAGGTAGTCTAAAATACCAGTTCGTATATTTAAAAATCCGTATATTTAAATGTAGTTACCGTACATCTTCATGTTTATTCATCCTGTTTTTGGTCCACAGATCTCTAATTTTGAGGACGACGTTCAGCCCGGTTTCGGGGGTGTGATCCCTGGATGTAGCTTCCGACGCCTGAGGCTGGAAGGCTTTGGCTCGTCCTTGTACGAATTGGATGAGGCAGCAACGTGGTGACTGTGGTGAGTGGGGTGGGAGACGGATTCCATCGTGCCATTTGTATATCTCCATTTACATATTAGGCATATAAAGTTTAACAGTTTAACATGTGTGTTTCATTTTTTTGGAATCTCACTTTTCACTGCTACTGTATGTTATCTTCATCCTGCCATGGATATTGAGGAGATCTGGGTGGTCCAACCTGTTGTTTTGGTACAAAGGCTGTAGGGACAGTTGGCATAGGTTCAAGCAATGAGGCTAAGGGCTTACAGGAAGGGCCACTGTTCTGGCTGGCAGGTTGCGGAGTACTTTGCCAAATCGACTCTGCAGGGATTGCTCTATGTCTCGGCAAGTCGGGGTGACTCAGAGACCATCAAGGATTATGTGCCTTATGTGTGTATGTGGACAATCGAATGCCACAAAGAAGATGTTTGTTTCATTTTTTTTTCCTAATTGTCTCGGTAAAGTTACGTTTTGACACCTGGGTAGGTTAAGTCATAGCTGCGAGATTTAAGCAGCCTCACTGCAGGATCGACTCTGGACCCTGCTGATGCCATTGACTTCCGGAAAGTGCTGTCATGGCCTTATCCAAAAGACATGCTTTTGGCACATCGCTTGGACCGTTGACTTTGAGATACATGTCACGAACACCACTATCTTCCGTCTCACTTTGCGGTATCAGATTTATATTTTATCAACAAATTGCAGGGTTCATGTTTTGTCAAGGTTTGGCCTCATTCTGAAGCGTTCGAGCCCAAGTTATCCAAGTTCAGCACAGAGTCGTAGAGTTGGTCATTGCAATCATCATTCTCTGTGGCAATAGTCACAATATGCATGACCTGGCGGCAAATGTTGCTGGCCTGCCCATGTTTGATGATGATGTTGATGTTGATGATGAGGATGAGTCGCCCAGCTAGTCACAGTCTGGTCTCTTGGGGTCATTTGAGGCGTAGAGACCTGGAGGAATTCCTACTTCGGACCCTATGAGTTGTGGCCTCAACCTTCACCACACATGCCAGCTGAATTTACTCCCAGTTGTTTTTTAGATCAAGATTGGCCAAGCACCAGTGAAGGCAGTTGCCACAAGCCCCACATCCCTGGTCCCTGAGGTTTCTCTCTGAAACGGTCTTGGCGTCCCTGTGCCTTGCCTCAGATGACCTGGGAGTCCTGGAATCGGGATGGTCATCGATTGCAACACGACAAAGCATGGAATTCCACCTATTGCGCTATCGCTCCATGAGATTTTCCAACAACTGAGGCCTATCACATTCATCAGTATATCTTCCAAGAAACACAATCAACTACCTTTCTCACAGATCAAGAATACGCTTGCGCAGACCTGGCAGAACTTCTACTTCACATCATCAGCACCCTCCCTCATGGCATCCCTGTCCAGGGTGCCGATGTGTGAGTTGCAGCCAGATCTTTGTGGAGGGTTGGTGGTACAGACCTTAGCGATCGTCATGTGTGGGTCTGGAGATGCATGCAAGCCTTTGAATGGTTCCACCATGTGTGTGTATGTGACCTGTGTCATTTGCTCCTGACAAAGAGGACTATGCTGACTATGCTTGCTTGTCACAACCCAGACACAATTTGCATGAAATGGATACAGTTAGCCTCTAGTTGACTGTGGTTTCCTTCACTTGCTTCCGCGCAGCTCTGGACCCTTTGGCTAAAAGCACTTTTTGTAGAAGACATAGGCCGAGGGGAGAATAGCAATGGGTGCGGGCAAGAGCCTCTTCACCAAGTTTGAGAGGGACTGCAACTACACAGTCCTTCTGCTTGGGCAGACGGGCTCTGGCAAGACTTCTCTGCTGAACCTCATCGCCAACTGCCTTGGTGTGAACCACATTCTGGACGAAGGAGTTCTGAGTGCAGGAGAACTTCACGCCTTTGGTCAAGGCCGAGTGACGGATTTGAGTGTGGAAAATGCTTTGAGTGATCCAATGGCCAGCAAAACATCTGATGCCCGAGTCTACCAGATTGAGCTGGCCAGAAATTGGTTCTTCACCATCATCGACACCCCCGGCTTTGGGGACTCAAGGGGTTTGGAGGTGGACAAGCAGCATGTGCAGCGCATCATGGCATGTTTGGCCGAGAAGATTCAAACCATCAACTGTGTCATGGTGGTGCAAAATGGGCGAGAGTCTCGCATGACTCCGACCATGGAGTATGTGCTTTCACAGCTTACAGCTGTGATGCCCAAGGCAGTCTTGGATCATGTTGTGGCTGTGTTTACCAACACCGAGAACAAGAGGAAGTTGCACTTCAAAGTGGAGAAGTTTCAGACCTTTGGCATGGGCATCCCCAAGTTTGAGTGCATTGAAAATCCCTTCGGCATGGTACAGCACTTAACAGCTGCCTATGGCCTCAACCTTCCTGAGGAAGACCGAGAAGACCTGACAGTCGAGATCCGGAACAGTCTGAAGGCCTTGGAAAAAGTTGGCTGGTTGGTTCATGACATGACCCCAGTCCCATCCATGAGATTCCAAGAACTCAATGCCCAACGTGAGAGGATTGAGGCATTGTTGGCCAACAACTTGGAACTCATCGTTGAGCGTGAACGCCTGGTCGCTGATTTGCAACGTCATCGGCAGCAGATCGTCTCCAGTGGGGTTCTATCCCACTTGACTAGGCGAGTTACTCGCTGGGAAATCAAGTTCGAGATGTTCCCTTGGTCCAAGTACGTTTGCCACGTGCCGGACTGCCATTGCAACTGTGCCACCTCCAATGTGATCAGCCCATTTGCCAGCCTTTGGTGCTACTTCCATGAACAGAATGTTTGCACAACCTGTGGTCACACCTATGCCAGACACCGGGTGTCCCGGGATGGCTGGCAAAGCCGACAGGTCACTGAACACGTGGAAGTGGGCACCAGTGTCAGCGAGGCTGAAAGGCTGTTGCGGCGACGAATCGAGGAGGCTGGGCGGCAAAAGTTGGCACTGGCACAGGAACTGGACAGGGCACTTGAGGACTATGCCAAGTTGGGCCTCCGCAATGCCTACCTCCACCTGCTGCGAAGTCAGAAAGCGATTCTGGAAGAGCGATTGGCAGCCATGCCAGGGGAGACCTTGAAGAACCTCCTGGATCGACTGGTGAACAGCCTGAAGGAAGTAGAAGAAGCAGCTGAATCCACATGCTTTTGTTTTGTCGGAGCTGCGGACACGGTCCTACGGTCCTCGATTGTGGGCACAAGACTTTCTGTGCAGTGCTGAACAGGTGGGGACGTGTCCACCAGACGTCTGGTTACATCCAGAACCCCCATCGCGCTTGTATAGCTGGCAAGTTGCCACAGTCGCGTCGCAGACAGACCGGTGAGAAAAGGCCGAGAAGGGAGAGATACCCTCTGGTAAACTAACATAACTATGGAAAATCACCATTTTCAATGGGTAAATCCACTATAAATGGTCATTTTCAATAGCTATTTTGACATAACCAGAGGGTAAGCCATTGATCCATTCGCATCCACTGGCATTTTTGGCATTTTTGAACCCCTGTGCAGACAGACCGTTTAAGTTGGCCTCCAGAATCCGGCAGGGTTGGTAGATGATGAATTTTGGCGATTTGCTGAGGCCCTATTCCACAGCTTCATCTCGCATGGCGAGACGAGGTTGCTGTGCAAAGGGGGTGCCGGTGGGTGCCTGTGGGGATGTGGTGGGGACATTGACTCTAAGAAGATCCAGGAAGTATGGAGAAAAACAATGAAAAACATTTGGGGTCTAAGTCTCTAAGATCTCTAAGCAATTGGCTGCAGGTTGCTGGAGCGCGTTTGGCAAGGTGGATTTGTGTTGCGACCTTGGCACGGTGGAGTTTAGCATCCACGAAGCAACCCGTTGCATGGTGAGCATACAGAAACAAATCACAGTTTCATTGAAGGCAGAACAATTATGATAATTATGTATTGCCCAAACTTTGCAAATTTATTCAATTTATTCTTGGGTGGTCTTTGGCCTATATTCACTCTTTTTTGAAGCTGGTGTGTTTGGATGAAAGTGATGCCTGAAAATGAGCTCATACCATCTCATATCATCAAGCAGCATGCAGGATCCACGTTCATAATAGATTAATAGCCGCCCTCAACAAACACATAATTAGTCAGAGTCATGTCCTTTTGCATCCATCTTCCTCAAAGACAATTCTCGTATATATAACCCTTCATTTTTGGTTCCTTTAATTGTTCATTTCTATAAATATTCATTGCCATAATTGTTTTGGGTGCTGAATTAGACTCAGTATCGCTGCCCATCAAACCATGTTTTTGTTTTGGTTCTGGTTCCAATGACATTGTTCTGTGGGACCATGCTGGACCACCCAGGCCGTGGCTGTGCAAACGACTGGTCGGGGACCTGCAGTTGGCTTGTCAGGATCAAAATTGACGACCCAGGAAACGACAGAGAGTTATACAATGTTATACAAATTGAGAAACAATTGGGTGATGACCCATCCAACAATGTGTTGAACTGAGAAATACAAATACTTAAACTGAGTATGTTCATCATCTTTTGGTGTTGAACTGTGATGGCCCATCCGATTGAAATGGGTCCTCAATTTTGACCGTGAATTGCACAGTTCATTGGGCTGGCAAACAGGCAGGCAAATATCTTGTCTACATAGCCACATGGCTATCATATGCTATCATAGGCACTGTGATTACCATCTTGTGATTTAACATAGCCATGGAAAATCACAATTTTTAATAGGTAAACCATCTATATCTATAAATGGGCAATTTTCCATGGCTATGTTAAATAACCAGAGGGTATCACTTATTGATGGATATTGATGGAGGGGGATCATTTTATGACATTTATGACCTTTATGACAGTGTGATTCCGTTGACCATCTGACCGAATTCTTGTGGCTGTGGCCAATTGGGCAATGGTATCAACATGTATCAACAGTCAACAAGACCCGAGAATCTGGTTTTTCCAGTGGTATCAACAGTCAACATTCATCCAACGGATCTAGATCTGGCTGTGAACATCACAAAAACGATGGCGGACTGCCGTCAGTCCGTGGATGCCTGGCTTTTGAATTTGTTGACATTTGTATTTCAGATTATTTCAGTATTTCTTCCAGAGGTGAGATATCATAGATATCCTGATAGACAAGTTGTCTCATCATCGGATGAAACCTGGTGTTCGAGGCTGATAAGTCCAAAATCCAGCTGGCCATGATGGAGCAAAGGGACGCGGTGGCCCTGCCGGAATTTGTTCAGACGCTGTGACTGCCCACTGGTGCGATTGATTTTCGCGACAACTTGGGACTGGTTTCTTGGAGTACAAATTGTAAAGAAAACACATATATTCTTTTTTTTGCCTTCTAGGAAATTTCAGGTTCCAAACATCCCTTTCTCTGAGTCACTTTCCAGAGGTTTTAGATTCGTTTTCTTTATCCAGGAACCCATCATCCAAGAAAACAAGCCGTTTCTGGAATCACAGCATTTTTTTGGCCAGGCAGACACCACACCAGCATCCAAGGTCCGGGGACGCGGGTTTAACGAGTCATGGAAATGTCATGGATCTATGTGTTTGAGGATAGACTCCGGATAGACTCGTTCAATAAATTTTATGGTACAGCCCCTGAGGTCTGATGGTTTTCCCATGGTTTTCCCATGGTTTTCCCCAAGTCCGAGGATTTGTTTCATGTGAGGTCATGTCAGCTTTATCATGATTTAGACGAATATTTTTCAAGATGGTTAAAACCACCAACCAGTAAAAGGTTTATCATGGTAAAACGGTTTAAACTAACATAGCCCATAGCTATTGAAACCACGGCTGAGAAAAAAAAAGCTATTGAACATCATCATTTTAATAGGTAAACCATCTATACATGGTCCGTTTTCCATAGCTATGTTAAATTACCAGAGGGTATCAAAACAGATGTAGAAGAGCTACCACTGCCACCGCCATTTGGTTTTTTTTGCGGCCAAATGATGGCTGTTTTGGGGCCACGAGCTGCGCAGGACGTTCCGCATCACGTGGCCAAAGGCGGCTTGCCACGGGAGAAGTGGAGAAATGGTTGCTGGAACATACGTGATTTCTGAGATGAACATGGGGTATTTTCAATAATCTTGATCTTCGAAAGATGATGTACCTTGGAATAAACTCAGTGAGATTAACAGCTGAGACAGCATAGACAGCAATGGTTGGACATGTCCCTCCTACCAACAGCACTCCCATGGTATCAGGCTGGGACCGACATGCTGATATGGTGTGGAATCCAAGTTGGATTGAGCTGAGTTCCATCTCACTGGATATCTCGCGGCCGTGGTCAACAGGGTCTCTGCGATTTGATGTGGAAGACGTATGAATCGTATGAAGACATCACCACTTGACCTTTTGCCACTTGAATCAGGGTTTCCAAGCCCACTTCACGGTCCACCTTGGCCGTGGCTTCTATGGTGCTGAGGTCTGCATGCAGGCCATGGTGGTGAGACTGGCTGGGAGCCTGTGATGGGAAAAGGCAGGAAACCAGCTGGGTTTGGCATCCAAACACATTAGGGGATGCAGGATATACACACTTTTTCATCACTTTTTCTTATATGATAAACGACTTTATGTTTCTTCTGGATTATTATGTATTATGTACATTTAATTACATTTGTAAACTCATGATACACATCCAAAAGCATTGATCCTTGGCTCCTGGTTCATCCAGCTGTTCTGACTCCAAGTTGCTATGTCCGAGGTCACGGAACTCTATGATTTGTTCCCTGCGGAGTTTGGCGCAACAGTGGCAGCTGGCCTCAAGATGGTAGATGTGATGGTAAACTGGTAGGACCTGGAAGTGATGAAGTGCTGTATGGTACAGTGCTTTGATGGGATGCGATTGAAGTTTGAGGCAGAAACTGACTAGCATGAGAGCTTTCTCTAAATCTTTGTAAATCATTGCAATCCGAAGTGCCTTCCCAAATATTTGGATATTATATATAGATATATTCGTATATACACATAAGTATGTACATATGTATATTATATATATATAATTATAAATAATATGTGACGGTGGGGTTGAGCAAACATTGCTGCTCAGCCGAGGCAAAAGAAGAATCTCTGGTGAAGAACCTGCCGGGATCCCAGACCATGGGGCCAGGTTTGCACCAAAACGGAGGAGATCACCCGAATTTGTAAACCCCATGGGATCAGCATACCCTTTTGTAGGGAAAATATATGGGAAACCATGGCATTTTTTTTTGGGGGGTACCACATTTTTAGACAAAGCCATTTCTTTCAGACCTTCAAACACTGGTGATCCTCCAAGGCGAGACCACATCACCTTCTATTGCCACCAGGTTCGGCAGTTGCGCGCAAGCATCCCATGCGTAATCTTTGCCCGTCTATCTATGATTCTGCAGCTGTATTGCCTCATTCCGTGTGGCAATCTGTGGCAATCTACTTCACACGAATGGAACACTAGAAGACAACCACTGAAAAACTTGAAACTGGAAAACTGGAAAACTGGACAACCACTGAAAAATGGAAAGCAACGGAAAACTGGAAAACCACTGGACACCACTGGAAACCAACGATGGAAGCCCCCCTGGAAACCATCATGGCTCGGCCTGCAGGAAACCTGGCCCTTGAGGGAAGAGAAGGAAGTGACTGATGCCACCGAAGCGATCATCTGTTGCGTGGCTGATTGGTGCTGAAACCTTCAGAATGGAGGGGGAATCCATAACTCACACCTAAGAAACATCAGCAAATTGCATTAACCAAGAAAAGGTGGGATTATGTCAAGTATCATGATGAAAAGGAACATGGTATTCCCTGTGAAGTGGTCCCATGTGGTATCCAATCCTATCAGATTCTCCCCCTTTCCACAGCAGATGAAATGCCATTTGCCAAGGTTATGAGATGCAGCTGACATTGCGCTTGGTCTATGACATCAATGAAGATCTGCAAAAACTGCTGGTGCAGGGTGAAACCATGTCCCAAATTTCCACTGGTTGAGGGTTCCCCCAATTCAAACCAATGGGGAGATGATAGGAACATATTGGACTACACCAAACCGGCCCCAAAAGGACCCTATTGGGTGAAAAGCTGAATTAGTCAGGGAGGGTTTGATGTACACCTGGTTCATCCTGGTTCATGTCGGGTTCGTCGCAGGTGCAACAGGGTCTTCTTGGCGTGTGCTGCACTCTGTTCCTGCCGCCTGGGCCTGTTGGCGTATGGATTTTTGCCACCTGGATGCGATTTCAGGATCTCAAAAAAAGGACCCTAAGTTGGTCCTGAAATGTTTGGTTTGGGGTTTAAAGATGTTTAAAGTTTGGATCTTGGCACCTTTTCCACTAAAAAGTTGAGGTTTCACCAAGGATTTAAGCCATACCCCATGCCCAATGCCACTGCGGCCCTGTTGGTACCCCTTCAATCCAAAGCCAGGCCCACTCCGAAGCGCCAAGAGGAAATGCGGTCCGCCATTGGAGAACAAAGGAGAACAATTGGACGAGGGCTTGCATATCATATTATTGTTTCTTATTGCAATCATATCAACGGTTGAAACACTTTCAACATAATATCAATAATATAACATAAATAGTTGCTTCGCAGTTTCTCAGTTGCTTCGCGATAAACTTGCAGCCCTCACCGGCTTGCGTTTCCTTGGGAAGACCCATTTTTTCCCCTTCGAAATCGCTAGGAGCGACGACTTCTCAGAGACTCAGTTCCTTCAAGAAGCCAAAATCCTGGCTGGTGGAGTGGCCAGCAGGCGTGGGGTGGATGTGCCAGGATATACCCCAGCAACGGCGGAATCTCAGCCTGGTAGTGCATCCCCAAGCCTTCATGGCAGGTCAAACTTTTGGAGGTAGCTGCTGTAGTTTTCTTTTTCAAAGGCCGACAGGTTGCAAACCTCTTTGAAAGGGAACACAAGTGATGCCTGTCTGGAGGTTGTTGTCGCTGCCTGATGCCTACAAATACATCCAGGTCGGGATGTGGCCTGTGGATGGGACAATTGCGGCCCCAAAAATCGCAAATAAATAAAAAAATAAAACCAGGAGAACTAGATGTGATATGTACAGGGCTTGAATCCCAAGATTTGATATGTACACCTCAACATCGATGGGAGGTGATTTCCTTATGTTTTTGTGGTAGGTCTGTGTTCTTTGAGTGCTTTAGTTACTTTAGTTCAAGGCTTTCCCGAAGTTGGGACTTTTGCTGTCTACAGGACAGACGCGCCCGAGCCCACTCCATTGGCATGTTCTCCCAGTTTGCACCTTAGATGTCTCAGATCAATGGCGAGGAGCAATACTTTCTGAAAGCTGATGCTTTCAATGGAGCTGAAAAAAACCAGATACTATGGGTTATAAATACTAGAATTTACCAGAGATTTATCACCTTGGGTTAGCTTTGCAATTCATATCTTCACCTTTCCAGCAAACCAGCGAGGATCCATCACTGGAGTGATGCAGTGTTTGAGAAGCAGGCCATCTTGAAATCAGGGATCTTTGGGCCATTGGATTTGAAGGACTTAAGGTATCATCAACTACTTAACTTCAAAGCAGTTCTCAGTTCTAGCTGCTGCTAGCTGTTAGAACTGAAATCCACTCCCCGGACTTTGGATGTTTTGGCCCTACAGAATTTTGATCCATGGGTTGCTTCGTCCTCCCTGGGTCCAATTTGGAACAGCCAGGGCAGTATCGCCGAGCTCTCCACAGTGACTTTGCTCGAGAGGTGCCGCCATGCTTGGGTGTCTTAAAAGCTCAGATGTATGGCCAATGTGCTGGTGACTATATAATGGGTATTGAACCAACAAACATGGGGGTGCCATTGGGGATATGAATATAACGGATCTATATGGGAGCCGTCCGTAAAAGCAGGTCACAAATTTATGAATTGATGCGTTTACTTTGCTTTGCGCGATTGCTAAAACCTGCATCGCGATAGGCTGAGCGATTGGTTGGCGATTGGTTATACGGCTACCACCCTATTACTACTACTACTACTACTACTACTACTACTACTCGTACTACTTTTACGACTAGTACTGCTAGTACTACTAGTACTACTAGTACTACTACTAGTACTACTAGTACTACTAGTACTACTACTACTACTACTACTACTACTACTACTACTACTCGTACTACTTTTACGACTAGTACTGCTAGTACTACTAGTACTACTAGTACTCGTACTACTTTTACTACTAGTACTGCTAGTACTACTAGTACTAGTACTAGTACTAGTACTACTACTACTACTACTACTACTTTCGAGACCAGAACCATGCCAATAATTGACATGGCCGCGCGGATTCCGCGCGCGCGGAATCCGCGCAGATGTTTTCAGGTCAGAAGGACATTCAAGCTAGCTCCAATTGAAAACAGGTCAGAAACAGGTCAGAAACAGGTCAGAAACACCAAAAAGGCAGCACTTGCCTAGCATCCCATCCATCCATCCATCCATCCATCCATCCATCCATCCATCCATCCATCCATCCATCCACCTCAGCTCTTATCATTGCTACTAATGCTGCTACTACTACTACTACTACTACTCCTGCTACTACTACTACTGCTACTACTACTACTACTACTACTCGTACTACTTTTACTACTAGTACTGCTAGTACTACTAGTACTACTAGTACTACTAGTACTACTACTACTACTACGACGACGACGACTACGACGACGACGACGACTACTACTACTACTACGAGTACGACTACGACTACTACTACTACTACTGCTACTACTACTACTACGACTACTACTACTACTACTACTACTACTACTACTACTACTACTACTACTTTCGAGACTAGAACGATGCCAATAATTGACATGGCCGCGCGGATTCCGCGCGCGGAATCCGCGCAGATGTTTTCAGGTCATCCACTTGACAGAAGTTCCACGGAAGGGTCAGAAATAGTCAGAAACCAGTCAGAAACCGGCCAAACGCAACCTCTCTCTCTCTCCCTTGCCTATTCCCTCACCCTCCTACCAGAACTCCTACGCCTACTCCTATTCCAATTTCCACTACCACTACTGCTAGTGCTACTGCTACTGCTAGGTACTACTGTGAGTTTTCCGGACCGTTTCCGGACCGCACAAGCTTATTTTGCTCCCAAATTTGAAATCGAATGCGTTCACGCATGGATCCTTACTCTCATTACTAGATTTGCTACTACCCCCAGCACTACCACCACCCCCGCTGCTACTGCACCACCCTGCACCACCACTACCACCACTACCACTAGTACACCTAGGAATTTCTGCTCTTGCTTTTAAATCCAATTGACACGAGTTCCGCTGAAGGGTCAGAAACGAGTCAGAAACTAGTCAGAAACCAGTCAGAAACCCGTCAGAAACCGGTCAAACGCAACCATCTGTTTCCCCCTCCCTCCCTCTCTCTCTCTCTTTCTCTCTTTCCCTCCCTCTCCCTTTCTTCCCTTGCCCTGCTACTAGAACTCCTTCTCCTATTCCTACTCCTACTCCTACTCTTACCCCTCCTACTACTACTACTACTACTGTACTACTACTGTACTACTACTACTACTACGACTACTACTACTACTACGACTACTACGACTACTACGACTACTACGACTAGTACTACTAGTACTACTAGTACTACTAGTACTACTAGTACTACTGCTGCTGGTACTACTGTGAGTTTTCCGGACCGTTTCCGGACCGCGCGAGCTTATTTTGTTCCCAAATTTGAAATCGAATGCGTTCACGCATGGATCCTCATTATATAATACATAACTTATATTTTATGTATATGATCTGATCAACGAAGAACAAACCCTTCCGCGATTGCTCACTGTGGTACCGCGGTTGCTACGCGATTGGCTGAGCGATTGAGGGCTGTCCGGGAAAAGGTATTTTGGACAACCCCCATATATAGGGAAACGACTATGTTTTTCGGGTGTGTTCATCAGTGTGTGTGAAATGGGGTACTTATCCCCCAATTATGGCCATTTAATACAGGAAATGATGATCAAACCATGAAATTCAGGCTTTTCCCCCGAACTTTTTAGAGAAACCTCAGCAGCCCTGAAGGGATTTCATAGATTTCATAGATTTCATGTCCTTAAAAACTCCGGCAAAAGCGATGCCAACGCCGCAACGCCGCAACGCCTCGAAGCTTCGAAGGTGCAGTGCACTATACATTGCCATGCTGTCCTGTCAAACTTTGGATTGGTGTTTGGAGAATCTGGGGCTGGGCACCTCAGATGATCTCCCAGATGTTTGGAAGGTTGGAAGATGTTGGTTTTGGTTTGACATCACTGAACCAGTCATCCAATCGACTTTGATCATTCCATTTCATTTTGCTTGGTTTTGCAGAAGGTTTCCAGAAGGTTGTTGTTTTTACTTTCACTGGAAATTTAGAGTTCAACATATTCAACATGCAGCACATTTCCTGTGAGCCACATCTCGGTGTCGAGGTTGGGGCAGATGGACGTCTTCACGCACATCACGCTGCGGATGTGGGCGCTCCATCCGAATCCCGTGATCAGACACCACGTCTGTGGCCTCAGCCTACTGTGACTGGGCTGGGACTGTCCCAATGGTAGCAGCTGATGTTTGGGGTTAGTGACTTGGTTGTTGGCTAAACCTATCTTACTTGGGGCGATCACCGAAAAAAACGCCGCCCGAATCCTGGATTCACAGTTGATCATCTATAGTTGCCAATATAATCAGATATACAATATAATAAGATATAATCATATATATATATATATTATACATACATACATATATTTACATATAATCACCAAACAGAATGGGATGTTTTTATCTCAATGAGAGGCTTAGTAAGCAGGAAACGTGGCCCCATCAAAGCAGCTTTCAGGCCATGCGGCTCTTCAGCAATTTCTGCCAGGTGCTGGAGTGGGATGGTTCAGTGGAATCTGTTGACATGGAAAATTAAACAGTAATGTGGGTAAAACAATGTCATAAACCCCCACTGGGAATGGTAAGTTTATACCACCTAAATGGTGATGACTGGAGGATGGTTTATGATTCTTTTACCCACATTATAGAATAATGACTTGTTTTGATTATATAATGATATGTTCAGCATATAATACACATCTTGTACGTTACATGTAGTATGGTTCTGAATATTTAGAGATTGGTAGTGATTGAAAGGAACAACATGCAGAACGTTTGTGGCTCAAAATCTATTGCACAACTCAATTTTGGCAGTTGCGGCCACAGCCTGTGGGCTGTGTGATGTGCTCCGTTTCTTCAGCGGTGTCAGGTGAGACACTGGCTGTTTTGGATCTCGATGAGGGTAAGACTGGAAAAGAAATAAAACAATCCCTAGCAGCTCAGATTGGTGTCACCAGATTTCGGCAAAGGATCTGGTTAGAAGATTCGTCCAGAGAAGTTGAAGATGATGAGGTGGTGACCTCTGAGAAGCTACGGCTGGTGGTGTTGGAATTTTGGCCACCAGATTTTGAGGAAGACACAAAGATGATCGACGCAGCCAGGAACAATGAGGTCGGAACACTTGAGAACTTGCTGAAATGTCCTCGAAATCCCAATACAGATGCCTGGCTTTGCTTTAAGATGAAGATTTCAAAAACATATTTCATTTCCCCACTTTGGAAATCCACCGGGGAATCCCAACTTTGGAAATCCACGATTTTTCACATGGCGCAGCAGGAACTCGGAGGCGGAACTCCCCTGCACTACGCGGCCGCCCGCGGACAGATGGACTCTCTTCGGCTGCTGCTGGAAGCCCGCGCGGACAAGGATGCCAGGGACTCCGGACCGCAGGGCTGGACCCCCTTGCTGTTGGCAGCCCAAAATGGCCAGGTCGATGCAAAAAAAAACAAGCCTGGGAGTGGGTGGATTCCCCAAATTTGAAGGGGAACTGTAGTGAAATCATCTGTAAAATGTTGAATTTTCATGATTTTTTCTGTTGCCAGGATAGATGACCGGAAGGTAAGTAGTTTAACGATGCTTTTATGCGGAGTACGACTATAAAAATCCTGGTGGCTCAGGTGGACGCGGTTAGTTTCTTGCTGGAAGCTGGAGTTGATGTATCTTTGGCCACATGTGATCTGGGTGGAACCGTCTTCCACATCGCAGCTGAGAGAGGGCAAACTGAGGTGGTCGACTTGCTGATTCAGGCTGGAGTGGAGAAGGAGAGAGGCCGGACCCACGATGGCGCCACCCCGTTGTACGTCGCGGCTCAGAATGGCCATGCTGGCATTGCACGTTTGCTGATTGAGTCCGGGGTTGACCTTGACCAAGTCAAATTCGACAGTGGAGCAACTGCATTGTACATAGCAGCCCAATTCGGCCATGTCCCAGTTGTGCACTTGTTGGTTGAGGCCGGGGCAGACATGGAGAAATCATTGAACACCTCAAGCACCACTGGAGCGACACCATCGTACATCGCAGCACACCAAGGTAATGCGGAAGTTGTTCGCGTGCTGCTCGAGCATGGTGCTGACTGCAACCAGGCTACAATCGATGATGGATTCACCTTGTTGCACATCGCAACTCAGGAGGGTCGTGTTGAAGTTGTGCGTGTGCTGATCGACTTCGGGGCTGACGTCAACAAGGCCAAAACGGACACCGGAGCCACACCGCTCTTTATCGCTGCTCTCACTGACCAGGTGGAGATTGCACGCTTGTTGCTTGAGGCCAATGCTGATGTGGATGAACCCTTAAATACCACTGGTGCCACGCCCTTGTTCATCGCAGCTGGAAAGGGCCATGTCGAAATGCTTCGCTTGTTGATTGATGCAGGCGCAGATAGGGATGCGGCCACTACAGACTTTGGGGTCACACCTTTGTTCATCGCAGTTCAGAATGAACATATCGATGCTGCTGGTTTGCTCATTGAGTCGGGTGTGAATGTGGTCAAAACCCTGAGTGTGGGTCAGCACTTGAAAGCCCCGAAGGCATAGACATCCCATGGAAAATGCAATTTGTAAATTAGGATTTTGAATTGCTACATCTTGCTGCATCTTGCTACTCAAATTAATGATGCGGTCTCCGCAGCTCCGAGACCCTCTGTGGATTTTGCAGGCAAAAGCTCTGGATCAGCACCGTTGCAACAGCATCCTTTTGTTCACAGAGCCCTGCGCGAAAAAGAACACAAACCATCCAACAAGTTGTGCAGATGCAGCAAGGTGTTTCATGGTGTTCCATGGTGTTTTCCAGCTTTTTGGATCTTTTTGGTCCAAAAATCATGTCATTCCCAGTCGAAAAAATCGGCCTAGCTCCCAGTCCAGTGCCTCCAAACGCATGGTGCTTGGTGGCCGATGGCCAGTCAGGTGCACTGCTTGTTTGCCTCGGTTTTGCAAGCAGAGAGCAGTGCCAAGTGGGATCCTTAAGGGATTGGCCCAATGGCAAACTGAACTGATGGCTGGTCATTTTGTATACCATGACGTTGGGAGCTTGGGAGAGTTAGGGGATTGGAAACTTTGAGTGCCCGAGGCTGGCAAACCAAGCCATCCATCGTACATTTGGCTTTTGGGACGTTTGGACCTTAGCCTTCCAAAGCGGAACTGAAGAGTTGTCGCTTTCTCTGTTATATATCTATGATTATGTATATATATATATGTATATATATATATACATACACATATTCATATATATATATTATATTATACACACATATAAATTATATAATACATAATATAATATATATATATAATCATAGATGTAGTTGGATGATTTGGATGGCAGGTCGTTTTTTACTGAGCCATTCATTTCTTGGCCGCAGGTGCGTGAGCTACGGCACCTGCTGCGCTTGTTTGGGCCTTTCTCGGAGCCAACGTATTGATTGGGTTTTGACACATATCCACATGTCATTTTGATGTATAATACGACAAAATAGATAGAATAGATATATGAGTATAAATGTACAAACAAAGGTATGTATGCCTAGGACCGATATAGATATGTAGATGCACTGTACTGTATGTAACATCCTGGTAAGCATTGAAGCTATATATCAGGACCTTGTGTCAGTGATCTGACGCATGTGCACTTCCTCCTCTTAGTACAGGGACCTGACGTAGATTCGACGTAGATCTTGTCTGAGAGTTTGAACAGAAGTAAAATCCCAGTGCACGTGGTAAACTATTTATTTGAAACTTATGCATCCCAGTGATTCTCATCGCATCCATTCGCATCCATTCGCATCCCATGTCTCGGATGGCAGTCCCCCCAACCCCCAGCATTTCTGTGGCCCCGATGGCATGAGGTTGGTGGGAGTCTTGTGTCATGTCTTGTCAATTCCCACATGCAACGTACACTTCGGCGCTCTCGTGGTGTGGACCTCATGGCGGTGGACGAATGGCTAGGATGGGTAGGGGTTAAAATGAAGGACCCCTACCAAAAACATCCAAAAACATCCAAAAACATCCAAAAACCAAGGTTTTTCTATGTCTTTCTCCAATTTTCGTGGAGTATGCTGAGTGCACAAGCCTTTTTGGACTCACAATATCAATTTCTGGAAACTGTGACAAGACCTGCTACTCTGCCTTGGTTCTACCCTGAGGAACTTGTCCTTTTCCAGCAATCATTGGGGATATGTGAGTACAGTCATGACACAAGCAACCGCGGCCTGAAATACTATTGGCTACACAAACTCAGGATGTTGATTGGTCATATTGGTGTGTGGAATCAGTGGTTTCCCCGATGTGTTTGAAGCGGACCACAGGGTGTCAAAGCCCGTTTGAGTGGTCTTTGGCTTCTATCCAGTGACAAAATACAACCAGCATAAGCAACAATAATGATCACTTAAAAAGGTATATACTATTTATTTGACCATCAAAAACGGGGAAGATGTGGAGTTAATCATCAATAGGCGCACTATCTTCCACATTTCCAGAATCACCAGCTACCATGACAAGGCACGGATGTTGGCGCGAAAACTGGACTGTCCAAAGTTGGCGGAGGCTGTAGGGCAGGTGTTTTCTTGAAATTAGGGGATCAAGATTGGATATTTGACTGATATTTATATACGCATAGACCAAAGTTACATATATAATCTATGTATATGTACATGTGCTTAGGATTCATCCACCCAAACAAGGGTCAAGCCCCAGCAATTTTTTTTGTTGATCATAGACATGGGAGATGCGATCATTCGGATCGATGATTTCTCACTGTTAACCCCAACAATTCCTGGTTTCAGCACCGCGGTTGAACCGACCGAGGGTGAAACTTTCGGTTGCAGTGTGAGAATATGGCCACCGGATGGGACCATCCTGTATGTAGATTCCGACACTAATATCATCCAAAGATATCCAAAGATCACGATAGGTTTCCGGCTGGGACCCGGAAATAGTATGTCCTGCAGTTGGCAATCCCAAGATGCCCAGAGCTTTTGAAATCACTTTTTGTGAAGAAGAGCAAAGGCACCTGGGCTTGCAAGTGAAGCCCATCTGGGGTTTGAGCATGTTTGAGCTACCCTCTGGTCATCAAACGTGGCTTGCTGGAGAAGCACTTCATAGATATTTATAGATGATTTTTCCCAGCTAGAAACATCTATAAACTTAAAACTTAAACTATAAGCATCTATAAGCCTCCATTGACTTCGGGGATTTCCCAGCTAGTTTGATTCCCAAAGGGAAACTGAAACCAGCAGATCCTGCCACAGACCCTTCGAAATGGCGCCGCACCGCGTGCCTCGTCGTACGCATCGAAGTCTCTTGGCTGAAGTCCGAAGGTTGGTTGTGGTAAGGTTTGATTGGTTGCAACACAAGCAAGGCAAGGCACTGATTTCGTGGTTTCCATCTTTTGTAGGATTGTGGGTTCGATCCCACTTGTTGGTGAGATTCCACATAGTATTCCCATAGCTTGAAGACCCTGGGGCTTTGGAAGACAATGCCAAAGCTGGAGATGTTGTAATGGCCATGTCAACTCTAGCAGGCAAGGAACAGCATCCATAGATGTTTCAGGGATCGACATTCAGCAGTTACTGCCAAGGTATATGTTCCGAACTGGCTTCATGTCTCAAATCCTTTCCTGGTGTGAGAAGCCTGGAGATCACTACTCCAGGCTGGCTGCGGGGGATGTGGCTCCTGAGTGCTGAAGCTTGTTTGACAGTAGTTGAAGTAACTAGACTCATTTGATCCACGGATATTTCTCAAACGTGTTGGACCTGAGATGATTCGTTTGGTATTGACATCTCATTTTCCCCAAACGACAGCTTTTTCTGGGGCATGTGAATGGGCACCTCCTGTGACATGGGTCCCCTGCCAAGGGCCTGGGGATTGTGGTTGGTTCTGACCATGCTCTCCTACGAAGCCAGTGAAGAGAAGTTGAAGGCGCGATTCGCGCCGGCGGCCTGGCGGGGACACCTCATTGGCCCTGTAAATTGATGATTTTCCCGTATATTTTCCCATTGAAACCTCCATTTGCGATGGGAATTTGCTGGAAAAAAATTGGACGCAGTGTATCTGTTGGAATTTGGATGGGCTTAAAGGACGAATAGCACCAGATATGCCCCATCCCCAGACTAAGAGGAGATGGGACCAGCTGAGGCGCAAGGTGATACCTTGGATCCGGAAGCTGTCCTGGTGATGGAGGAGGTGTCTTTGGAGGAGGCTGGCTGTGGGGACCATGCAGCATGCATATGATCATATGATTCATATGTTTTTCCTTGATTTTCCCTCCTTAGTTGAAGGTGGGTTGTGCTTGACGTTTGAGACTTTTGAGAGATGCTGGTTGGGTTTGGTTGGTAGATTTGGTAGATCAAACTTCAGGGGCCTGTCTTATCTTCCCAGTCCTGGACTTCTCCAGGTGCAGGTGGAACGTCGAAATCGCCTGTTGGACGAACAGGAGGCAGGAAGAATGGGACATAATGGGACCTTGGGACCTTCCAAAAGGGTGGTCTTGGTCCATTTCTTGATGTTTGGTGCCGATTTCCAAAAGTTTACCGAGAAAAACGATGTGTAATGATTGTAATGGCAAATTTGGGGTTCAAACGGGGATGCACAAGGTTTGCACACAGCTACGGCCTACGGGCTTTCAACAAAAATGTATGGGGGATTCATTTGGGACTCGGATTTGGAGATATCCACAATGTATACATCTCTTTGTCACTTCAAGACACACTTCCTGATCCATCGACTCATAAATACTTTCAGTATCAATACATGATTATGATCAGATACGATCAGATCCTATATGATCAAATGATTAGTATATAATCCATGAATCACATAATCATCCAAGAATCTTTGATCATTTCCTTTTTTTCAATGGATTCTAAGAATCATTGATCATGATGTCTTACAGATTCCATGGATTCAATGGATTGTAGTGATCCATTGATCCATGGTCACCTCCACAGGCTGCATCCGGGAAAACCAGCGCACAGATTGCGGAGATGCGAAGCGAACATCCCAGCAGAGTTGAGAGCGGATGGCTTTGGGGCGAAATGGGATGATTTCATGGGTTTTCCACCCATTCTTTTAGCCAAATCAGGGGGAAAATCATGGGGAAATTCAAGAAACCCTTGGATTTGGCCATCAAATTTCGGCCCGATCTTAGTCAGGGAAACTCCCCATGAACCCAGCCCCGTTTTTTTTTCGGCCCGAGGTAAACAGCCCGAGTGTAAGACGCGAATCCATTGGCTGCGCGGCTCCAGAGAACTGATCCGAGGGACGGCACTCAGTGTGCGGAACCTCAACTTTAGATGGGTCTATGGCGAAAGGGTTGGCGTGGGTATATATATATACACCCAAGATTTTGTACTCAGACTTGGTAGGGGTATTCGTTAGTAGTTTTGGATCTTATATTATTATATAATTATATCATATATATATATATATACACATATCTGTTCATGTTTGGAAGCCTGAATGAGAGTGGGTTGACCATTGCAGGATGTGAGGTCACTTGAGAAGGCACATTATTACATCAAATATGAGCAAGCACTGATATCCTTAATTCGATACATGAACGGACATTGAAGTCGACCCAACTTCTGACATGGCCCATGGCTGTTGCAGAGCAGAACGCTCATCTCCCAGCGACTCCCCCGATTTATCCTTGACTGACAGGGATTGAGAAAAGCCACATAGTTTCTGAGACTATTTCCAGACTGTACCATCTTTCAGGAACTGTTTGGAGTTTGTAAGCAATATCTATGGCTGGGTGGGAATCCGCGGCTAAGGCTGGGAAGTGCATCTCGTAACACCTGCTGGTTTAGCGATGGACACCTGGTGCTTTTAGGTGCAGTAGCTATAGCCGTGGCAGGTTCCAATGGAAGGATTCCCAGCAACTGGGCTGTGTGGCCTCTGCTTGGTGCTTGGTAGAGCTGTGCGGCTGGCACGACTTGGTCACAGCAGATGGGACATTTGGGAAAGGATGGCTGGAAAGATGTTCAATTTCTTGGAAATAGATGGGATTGAAAGGAGACCAACAGAAACAAGAGAACTGGATGAGGAGTTTCCTCATCTCGATGCTCTTCACTTGTCGACTATTCAGAACTATGGGATCTTCCGATAAGAAAAAACCGCGGTAGCGCCAGGCCAGAGTTCATCCAAACGGCCGTGGAGAGCATCGACAGTAAGGTGGTCTCCAAGTGTTTGACGCTACCAGAGAAGTGGGGTCAACTCAGTGGAGGATCAACCGGGCGTGATCCACCAAACTTGGGCGTTTTTTGTTTCCCAAAATCAATCGGGGCCAAAGCATCTTTCGAATTTGATAGAGGTTTGTAATGGTTTGTATATATAATCCCAACAATTCTACAATAATATATGTACCAATAATCCCAATATCCAATAGTGGGGCCAAATTGCCCAACTGATTTTGAGGTCTCTGCAGTTGGCAGCTCTGCTGCTGGTCTCTGTGGTATCTTCCCTGCGGCTGCAGCTGAATGTGAGGGCCTCAGTGGTTGTGGAGGTAGTGGGCTAAACCAACACCTGTTGGCCCAAAGAGTTCTCTAATCTTGATCATGAGCTCTAAGCTCTTGAAAGGCCTGATGTGTATTGCAAAAGCTCCCTTGATTGGATGGTGGATGCACTGATGCACTGATCTTTTATGTTTCAACCTTCAATCTCCTAAGGCGCGCAATATTGCGGGAGAGTAGTGCTGACGTGATTGGAAACACCGCGCTTTTTGGGACCCAGCCGAGTCACTGAACACTGTGTACGCGGAAGCAGAATTTTTGACCCAGCACGTTGCGATTGAAAAGTGATTTGAGAAGAGGAGAAGATGTTTGATGAGTGATTCTAGTCAAGTCTGTTTGATTCTTGAAATATGCCAGGTGCTCAAGATTGTCATGACACATGGCAAAGCAATGCGGACAATTCCAAGGCTTACTCAGACGCATGTGATTACAAAGATCCCTGAAACCAGGATCACCTTCATATCTCGCATAGATTTTGATGCCCGTCCCTTCGGATCTCGACTTTTTACACGCACGACACGACTCATGTTCAAAGGCCTCAGATTTCCAGGGTTTGCCACAAGGAAAGTAAACACATCTCTACCATCCCGGTATGGAGGAAGCCATGTCTGAAGCCTTTGAGGAAGGCATGCCTGAGTCTGAGACCACATCTTTCCTGCCGTTTCTGCTGCTGGCACTGCTGGCAGTTGGTTATTGGCTGTGGAGCCGTTCAGGGACTGACGCTGCAGCTGCAGCTGCCCCGCTTCCCAACGCGGAGGAGTTGCGTCGAAGACGCCTGGAAGCCCTGCAGGGCAAGGTGTCCACGACTTCCACTGAGGCAGCTGTGGCAGCACCAGTACAGGCCACGGCTGAAGATGGGCTGCGCAAGCGTGCTGTGGCAGAGGAGGCGGCAAAAGCCAGGGAGACCAAGGAGACCAAAGGGACCAAGGAGACTGAGACCAAGGCTGATAAGGCTCAGCCCAAACCTGAAGCAACCCCAACACCTGCCAAGGCTCAGAGCAACCAGGGCCCAGCCAGAAAGGATTTGTCGAGCACACAAAGTGCCCCCAAGCCCAAGGAGGAAGTGCCCAAACCGGTGCCACCGGTGCCACCGGTGCCACCGTCAACCCTTGCTTTGCGCGCTAGAGGGACACTCAAAGGCACTTCCCATGTGCGCAATGTGGAAGTAAAGGGCGAATCGAATGTGGAGCAACTGCAAGCTGAGGTCTCGATGGCATTCCCAGAAGCTGCAGGTTCCAAAGTGCGGATTTTCTTCAATGGAAAGGAGCTCAAGACTCTCACAGACAGCTTGGACTCCCTTGGCATTTCCAGCAATGTTTGCCTACAGGTGATGTTCACCCCTGTTGGTGCACAGGTGAAGCAGGAGGTCGAAGAGGCAAAGAAGGAAGATGTAAACGCTGTGAAAGAGCCTCCAACAGTTTCAGAACTTCCAGCTCCAGAGGAAGAGGCTTTGAGTGTTCGAATCCAAAGCACCGTCAAGGGGCACACCAGTGCATATGTCATCAAGGAGTTGACTACCTGCAACAGGGTCTTGGATTTGGAAGCCCTAAGCCTGGGTGCGTTTGCACCAGGTGAGGGCATGCGGCCACGTTTGTTCTTCATGGGCAAGGAATTGAAGGATGGCGAGGCCTTCCTTGGCCATGTGGGTTTAAAGCCCAACGGCACCGCGACGGTGCAGGTGATGTTTGCCACTGGAGAGCCTCGCATCGCTGCCAGGGTGCCGGTCTCTGAGGAGGCCCCGGTGGCCACCGCATCAGCGGCTGCTGGGGGAAGTCCCAGCCCTGCGGTGGAGGAGGGCACGAACGAGGCAGTCCTGGCTGCAGCAGCTGCTGCTGGTTGTAACGTCTCGGCCCTGCAGGGCACTGGAGAGGCTACCGTGGGGACGACTGGAACCCCGGCAGAGGCATGGCGTGCCATGGCGGGATTGGAGGAACAGCTGAGTCGAGAGACTGACATGTCGGAGGAACAATCGGTACGTCAAGCCTCAGGGATGTTGAGGCAGCTGCTCACGACAGCCACCCATGACGATAACCCGGGCCTCATGCAGTTTGCACAGTCCGCCGTTCCCGATCTTCAGAGGATTTGGAGCTTTGAGCCCACGCGAGAGCACCTCAAGGGCTTGCTAGCTATGAAAGCACAAAATCAAGGATGAGCCGTCCAACTGGTTGGTGAAGAGCCTGAATTGCTGTGTGCAGAGCTTGGTACAGTTTGATTGCACAGAACTGATGGCAATGAGAGTCTGAATTCGGTTTGGCGCAAGCGCCGCCGGCTGTGTTTAGAGTTAGAGCCTTGCTTGAGCGCGAGAAACCGTCCATTTTCGGGCAAAAGGTCCACAGGCTCTGCCACCAATATCAGCAATCGGATGAGTTTACTTCGGAATATTGACGAATTTGGGACTGCCACCAGGTAGCATGCCACAGTAAATGCCAGGTTTTTGCGGCGCTTCCACACCATGCAGCAGATCCTAATCGAAAGCTTGGCCAGTGGCGGTGAAGGGCCTTATGACATGATTGCCAGGCGCAGATGGGTCAAAGAATGTCGAGTTTGGATTATTTCAGATTGGACACTTGTTTTTTTCAGATGTCTTTGTTGTTCTGAAAGGTTGGGTATTCACTCTCTTCAGACATGGCCAACCATAGCGCCATGTAGGCATGTATCAATGACCATTCAACGATCCCTGACCTTTGAGCGCCTGGCAGGTGGCTACATGAACCTGCTCTGGGCTTGCATGGACCTCAGGAATAGGTAACTTTCAAGCAAGCCTGGCTGTGACTGGGGTGTTGGGCGGCCTAGATGCTACAGTGCCCACCATTGTCATCGTCGTCATCACCATAATCATGGTCATAACATGTGTTCTGATATATAATGATAAGTCATCAACAGTTGCAGTAAGATGATGTAAAACAATGAACATCAATCATCATATATTATATCGATTTATATCGATTTATGGCGTCATCGTCATCATCACACACACATATATATATATATATATATACATGCGTAGATTTATATCGATTTATATCGATTTACATCGTCGTCAGGATCATCATCATCATCATCATCATCATCATCATCCATCATCCATCATCCATCATCATCATCATCATCATCATGATCATGATCATGATGAAAATCATCAAAGATAAATGCTTTGGCCGCCAACTCTTGGGCAGCTTCGACCTGACCCAGGCCCAACGAGAACGAGTTCCGGTGCTTGGTCTCTTTCATGATCGGCAGCTCTGGCTGGTAGTGAGATATGAAGGGAATTGTTTCAGGGCCGCAGTACCTAGCAAAATGATGCAAAACGGCTCATCCTGATCCAGATCCATGTCGCTAGTTGGCCCCTGATCTTTGCAGAGTTTCGGAGTGATGTTATTTGTCAACCTGTGTCATTGGTTTGTTGGATTACTGTAAAAGGGATAATTAGTGTCAGCATGGTTGGTCAAAAGCTCCAATCTGTGTCACCTTATGATAGACATTCCTCAAGCTTTTCTTGTGCCCTACCCCCAAATGGAGGTTTCCTAAGTCATGGGGGTACCCCTAGTTATCATTCATCCATTTATGTCTGGGATTTTCCATTGTAAACGGAGGTACCCCCTAGGAAAACCCCAAATCCATCGCCTCCATCGCCAGGGCAATGTATTTGTCCACCCTTGGCCTCGACTCCGTCCCTGGATCTGGAGACGGTCTTGGCAGCTCCCGGAAAGGCGTGCGCCATGTGGGTTTATTGCATACATCAACATATCTGCAATATATATCAACATATATATCAACATATATATATATATATCAACATATATATCAACATATATATCAACATATATATCAACATATATATCAACATATATATGTGTACATATGTACATATGTACATGTATATGTATATATATATATATTGATATATATATATATTGATATATATATATATTGATATATATATATATATATGTACACACACACATACACACATACACACATACACACACACATACATGCATGCATGCATGCATGCATGCATGCATGCATCCATCCATACATGCATGCATGCATGCATACATACATACGTACATACGTACATATAGATATAAATATATATATATATATATATGCCATGTTGATTCATGGACGCTTACCACCTTCTGCACGTCAGTTGATTCATTGAGTCACGCTTTGATGGGGACCCTTGGGGCGGCCGCGGTGGTTCGTCGTCGCGCCAGTCTTTGCAACCGCAGAGAGAGCCTCTGCCACCGGTGGATCCCAAGGCCTGTGGGTGGTGACCCATCCCCAGTCATGGTAGGTTTGTGGCATTAGGTTTACTACTGGACATTAATGGACATAAATGGAAAACTACTATGTGTGGCTATTAGAAACCACTATTTGGATGAAGCTACTGGACATTTTTTGGAAAAGTCCACAAAACTCCAAGTGGACCATTGATATCTCTAATAGTTGCATCCAGTTGATGATTGAGGAACTTCATTACTCTGCAACTACTGGATGAAACGATTAGATATATAGTTGGTACATATTGGACACCATGAACTACTGCTGGCGGTTTCAAATGTGTGTGTTTTTCTGGGAGGATGGCCCTTGGACTACTCTTTTTGGAATGGGTTGAAACCAGCTGTCCTTTCCAGGCCCGGAAAGCTGTGGAGCAGGCGATGCAGGGGCACCCCCTGGGCAGTTTGGCCGTGGCATCGTCAATAGGGCATGGTTTGATACAGTAGAGTACTAACTTTGGGAGGATGAACCTCATAGCTTTTCATCATGTGTAATGATTGTAATGCTCACAGCCGAGGAGCACATCCATGGACCAGCGATGGTTTTTCATGCCCAGCTCCCTGCCAAGCTTTCGTCCCTTAGCCCTGGGCTTAAGAAGTCTACATGTCTTAATTACTGTAGGCGTCTTTGTAAAATTTGGCGCCTTAACTACAGTAATTATCTGCCATTTGACGTCTAAGATCGTCTAATTTTTTCTGTGTAAACACATTGCCTGGCTTTTTTAGGATTCCAATCTCAAGAAATGCCTTTCGGACCTGTACAGGTCTGAGTTAACACCCGGTTGTATCCGCCAGTTACTACCTGCATCTACCAGCAGAACGCAATAGTGATACTGCTCCCCAAAGCCCGTCTTTGCAGAGCTTTTGCCTCTGAACCAAAGTTTTGAACCATAGCTCTAAATCAACAACAGAAACACCATCTGGAAGAGTTTCTATTTCGAAATTATTTCCTAATATCTATCAGGTCTGGAAAAGAACCCATGTACATATAGACTCAGACATCGTAGAAAATACACACATATGATGTATATATAATCGTATATATATATATATATATCTGTCAAATTATGTGTATATAATATATTTTTTCTTCGCAGGGTTAGCCTGGCCTCCTTTGCCTTTGGTGGCCAGGTGCCAGAACCGGAATTCCTTGGAGCGCCCCCAGTGGCGGAGTGTGGCACACCGCCTGCTGCGCTGTTGGATAAGCCACTTGGATGCTATGGCAATGGGAAATCCCCTATAAATGATGATAGATGGAAGTTTTAATGGGAAAATCATCAGCATTAATGGGAAAATCAGTAGTTTTGAATGATGATAAATGAACATCATGTATAAAATTCTATAAACCATTGACCGGTGGCCATCAACCTCTGACAGGATAGCACAAGAAGTGATGAAAGAGGACTGTGCAGTTTTTTTTTTGAGACAGCGACCAGAGGTTTGTCTTCAGTGTCAAAAGCAAAGTTTCTGAGGTTGCAGATTGTGCTACAAATTCAGAACCAAAAGCCTCCCCAACTCGCCCGCAGATTGGATGCAGGACCAGCGGCTGCAAGAAGCACAAGGGCCGAAGATGGAAGGACCCATCTTCAGCACAATGTCCGGCACCTCAAAACTCGAACTGAGACTGCACTGGCGTCCGTCAGGGGTTGAACTTAGGGACTTTGGAAGACTGATGAACTTTACAGTTCCAGGAGTTTGACTTGCATCATCTTATACTGTATCAAGTATCAAGTTCAACCGTCTATCATCGTCTATCCAAATTTACATTTGGACATGTTGAGTACTGTTTCCAAAAGGTTTGGAGCACGAGTTGTCGATATCACAATCCGTGTGCATCTTATGTCAGGTTGTGTCACTTGCTTTTCGCTCTGGCTGTCATGGTGCCTGCGCACCCAAAGGCCTTGCTGAGCTAGGGTGGTGATGATGATTGTTATTGCTCTTACCATGATCATCATAATCATCATTATTATCATCATGATGCCAATTATAATAGCTATAGTGGTAATGATGATCATGGAACATGATCTTTATCACAATTGGTGATAATAATGAATGGTCATGGTAATGTGCCAATTATAAAGCTGTAATCTTGCAGGAGATTAGACTTCTCGAGATGCTCTTCGGATCTTGTTCGTTCTGTGTATCATTCGCCACAACAGCTGCAACTGGATCACCAGCGAAACTGCGCCACGGAGGAAGCAGCCCAGTCCTCTACAGTCCGTGGCGCAGCCTTCGCACAACTCATCAAGGTGGATTGGCGGTTGGACCGTCCGGATGGGGGTTGTCCCAAAAAAACGGAGCCAGGAGACACCCGGGCCCAAGATATGCCCAAGACGTCCATCAAACATAGGAAACACGATTCTACTCCACTGGGACATGGGATTTGTCTTGAAAAAGATGGCGAAACGTGGCGTACAGAGCCGGGGAGTTCGTCGACAACAGATTTCCAATTCTATGATGTAGATTGAGCTTGAAGAGACAGCTGTTCAATCCCTTCCCAAAATGGAAGAAGAAAGCACCAGACTTTGAGACTTTGCTTTGGAAAAGTGTTCGTTTCATCCATTTTTAATAAGAGGCATTGCAAGAAACTGCAAAAAAAGTCAACAACTGGATATTCCAATTAATTCCAAAAAGTCATTAATCAATTTTCAACATTGGATTTTTGACTAACTAATTGGAATGAATATCAAACAAGTCAACAACTGGATATCCCAATGAGTTTTTGCGGCAGACACCTTGATGTCAACTGCATCGCTAGGTGCAGCACATTGTGGCACAAGGCATTTTGCCCAAGGCGCTGGGGTGGTCATGTGGAAAGCTAATCATCGGATGTGTTGCAAACATACGGGAACACAGGTGATATATATATATACATTATATATATAATATAATTATAGATATTTATACACACAATCCATATATCAGGGATCAATAATCCATTTATGATATTTTATAATCCCGTGTTAATTATCTGGAGATCCCCAATGATTATGTGGATTAAATACGGATTATTGATCTCTAATCTATATACATCATTGCAGATCTTGGAAATGGTATGAACTGGTCCCCAATAAGATTCTTATAGATTTATCAGCACAGCAACTACTACTGTAATTACTGCCCAATCTTCAGGCCCTGTATGAACCTGCTGATGGAGAGCGGGCAAAGTTGCTTGGCAACACACGTGGCTGGGCTTGGGCTTTGGTAGATCTCAACTTCTTGAGTCTAGAGGCAGCAACATCCCTATGTAGCCCAAGTATAGTAGAGGAACACCACAGGAATCCCAAGGAAACTTCACCAGGCTTTACCCTACACGGCTATCGATCTTGAAGCTCCCCTTTGGGCTACTTGCACTGGTTGGAGACCTAGGTTATTCCTCTACGTGCGAGCCACCGCATGTGTCCGATCGGCTGCGATCTGAGTGTCGACAAATAAGCGCCGATCACCAAAAGACAAAGGGGGGATTTCGAGCCACCTGTGGGTAGATGGGGGTTCTTTATCAACAATGTCCCCCAATGTCGGTGCTTATTTTGGGTCGAAGCAGCTACAGCATTTTAGTTCACCTGGAAGTATGGGGATCCACATCATCCAGGAGGGGATGCCATGAGCACGGCATGACATCATGACATCCCCAAAATGAGTTTGTCCGAAAATGGGGTGCCTCTAAACTCCACTGGTTGATCACCACTTTTCCCTTGTTTAAGATTGCTATTCTATGTGTTTACATGGGCTGTTTACATGGGGTACACCCCATTTTTGGACAACTCCAAATTTCATCAATTGAATCAAATATCTTCCAACATTCCAAAAACTGATCCCATTTTGTTTGCTGTTCCTTCGCTGTCGTCAGCTGGCTGCATCTGAGGCGCTGCAGACCATCATGGCCTCATGGTTTGCAGCGGACTTCGGGGCGCGTTTCGTGATCACCGAGGAAGGCGGCAAGGACTTCATCCAGTGCCCAGGGGGCCCAGGATCTGTCAGAGCTGGTCTTGAAAGGTGATTTTTTTGTCTGAAGATATGGGGAAAAAAGGAGATTTTCATGGATTTTCATGGTTTATGGTGATTTTCCCTATTAACATGGCCATAGTTGGGGGAGAAGTACTGCCATCATTAGCCAAAATATCTTTTTTGGGTGTCGCATCCCATTGCTTGTCAATCTGGGAACAATTGAGATTGTTTTTCGAGCCAGAGTACTAGAGTACCATTCAATGATGTGTCTGAACTCGGGGCAGGTACTGCTGCAAGCACATCAATCAGGACTGCTGACGGATTGGGATTGTCGATGTCGAATAGATGGCCCCAATTGACCCAGCACCAGTCAATCTGTGGGAGCCTTTGCAATCCTCTACAGAGTGGTGCCCAAGTCTAAGTTTTTTAGATGTGATATTGCCATAGCCTTGAACTCGCTGAACTCGCATCAGTCGTAGCTGGTCCATCCGGGCGGCATTTGGCCAGGCTTACAACCACAAGACCGCGCTCACGCGCGTGACGGGATCACCCTGGGAGCGAGTGATGTTGTCGCAAGGCGCCGTGGCATCCCAGGGCATCCCAGGGCATCCCGAGAATCCCACCGCGAAACATGGCAGGGCCACGAGGATTGGAAATGGATGGCAGGATTCCAGATTTCAGATTTCACTAGTGAACAGATCCAGCTTCCTCTGAACACATGTCAACCAACATAACACAATTGACTCTTCATGTTCATTCCCTGCTGCCGCAACATACCTCTCAAACCAGGGAGGGACTTAGCGCTGAGAGCAAAACAGATTTGCTGTGCGAGTGTTCGCATATCCGTTTGAGCATCATTTGCAGGTGCAAGCACAAATCGAGAAGAGTAACAAGTGATCAGATTGGTTGTGCTACCAATCGCATGGTAGCGGAGCCCCGACGTGTAACAAGCAGCCATGCCTGGTGAGGATTCATACAACACCATACCGACATGGACTGGCGACCCCATAGACTTTGAAGGTTTTGCTCAGTCTTGCAAATGGTATGAAAGGTCACTGAAACCCACTGAACGTGGCCAAGCTGCAGCGCGCGTGTGGAGCAGACTGCAGGGTGCGGCGAAATCAGTTGTTCGTCGTTTAGATCCTGATGAGTTTTCTGGTGATGATGGTCTTACAAAACTGCTTAGCATTTTACAGGCCTCACCATTACAACAGCTGCCTGTGCCTGACAGTTTCAGCCGTTTGGAACGATGGCACCAACTGAGGCGACGTGATCATGAGACGATTGCAGAGCTTTTGGTACGCGAAGAGGATCTATGGGTTCAGATGCAAAGCGCATTAATCCGCGCTCGAGCAGATCGTGGGCCAAAACCTCCGGAGGTCCCACGTGTTTCTTCTGGTATTTCTCCATCAGCTGAAAGTACAATGAGTCCTATGGTTGGAGCAGTGACTGGTGCTAGGCGTAACTGGCATGCAAGTGGCTCTGGACCGGTGTTGCCAACAGTTTCAACACCACCTGCGGCTCGTCCAGCAACTGGAGATTTCACTGGAGCATTGGACACCTCAGACTTTTGGTCCAATGAACTGCGTGGCTACCGTCTTTTGAAGGCGGCACATCTGACCCGTCAGGAGAGACAGAATGTCCTGACCCCCGGCCAAAAAGCCCAGCTCGCAGCATGTCAAACATTTGAACCCAATATTTTCAAAAATACTCGGTATACGCGGGGTTTTATGTACTTTGTGCAGCCCACATAGAATGCCGCCAAGAACATATACAAATGTCATCATTGTGTTGCAAAATATTGTTTTGCAGTAGAATGCCGCCAAAAACATATACAAATGTCAGCATTCTGTTGCAAAACCCCCGTTTTTTTAATGAAAAACATGGTTTGAAGGATTGTATAGCTTTCTCCTGTAAGGATAAACCCTTATTGCATCAAACGTTGAAACTGGAATGTCCAGTTGCCGCATCATCAGATTCATGTTTGACCGGAAGTCGGGCTCACCTCATTTTTGATTTTTCGTCAAATTTATTATTTCATATGAATAATTCTATATAAATCCAATCTCATGAGAGGGCATCGTGCCGACCATGAATATATAACCCTCACTATATATATATATATACATAAATTGATAAATAAAATATAAAATAAATAAATAAACTAAATAAATAAATGCCTTGGATGTTCACCACACTGTGTACGATTCAAGCTGTCGGGTCAAGACCCCCATGTTCAGGCGACCGTTAGCACTAGGAGCGGCAGGGGGATCCCTCTCTTCTTTGGCTTTGCGTCTTCTGACTGAATCTGTCTCCTCGGTCGTTGATCCCAGCCTTCCTGTTCCACTTCCTGACTTGAGCTGCGCTTGTCCTACTTCTTTGGATTTGCCTGCTACTGGACTTGACCTCCGTTCTCTGTTGATTGGTCTGGTAGTTGGACTTTCCTTGGGACCGTTGCTTGAATTGCTCCTTGTGGTTCGGCACTGGTGGACTTCCTTGATTCGTCGTCAGCTGCAATCCCTTGCCCGTGGCCTACGTCCCTTGTACCGTGAACTGTGACTTGTATGGCCCAGAGAGCTGCTCAACTCCGTCTTGAGGAGTCTGTTAATTCTCTACTTGCCCGGGTTGAGCAATTGGAATTGCGCGTTGCTGAGTTGGAATCTTTGCAAGAGTTTGAGGTGATCCGAGAAGAGCCCGCACGACCCAGTGCCTCTGGGTACCGTTCCAATTCTTCTCCACCTGTCATTAGCGAGGAGAGACGTGTCATTTTGGAGCGGATTGGACATTGGTTGCGTTCTTGTCTCAACGACGAACGTCGTGGTCTGTCTGGTCGTGAATTGCTGCCTGAGGGAAACCGGTACTACTTGGTCTTGCGTGCCTTCAGTGGTGAGGTTTTTGATCCCGTCCTGGTTTTTGATTCCTTGAGCCAAATCGTTCCAATTGTGAAGCCCCTGGGGCATCCTGGTGATTCTGTGTTCATTGGACTTCCCAATTTGCAAGACGGGCGTGTGATTTGCGAAGCAGCCAGGCTGTAGTGGCCTTCCAGCAGGCAGTGATGCCAGCCGTTCCTCCTCTGGACGCAGCCCCAGAGGAAGAAGAAGAAGAAGAAGAGAGAGGTTCGGGTTCTGAGGCAGCGGGTGAGCCGGGTTTTTTCAATCCTCAGGAACATTTTGTTGTCACTCCCAACGGTTCTCCTACCTACAATTATTCTGTTTTGAATTTGACTGTGCCTGTTTCCGGGAATCCTGCCTTGGCCGTTCCCACTGTAGTGATTACTGAGATTGAGCACCAGCTGTTGATTGCCATTCCGAGCAAGTATTGGCACCGAACGGTAGCCAGTCGCCTTTTGCCTCCTAAAGCCATAAACAAAGCCATTTCAGCAGCCGTCGTTGGGAGCTCAGAGCACCAGCGAGAAGAAGCAGATCCCAGCGGTGAATACATTAGGATATGGATTGGTTTTCTCAACCCCGAATTGGAAGTGAATTTGGCAACCGGCCAGGGTTTTGCATTGGAGAGTGCTTTTCCTTCCGAGAAGGGTCAGCTTGGACTTTTGCCCTTCGCCGACGCGTCGTAGCAGTAGCAGACGACAAGTTTTCTTTCCTGTCTGCAGAGTCGGGTCACCCAGAGGACCCTGCTGTGTCCGAACGTCTAGCAAAGTTAGAAGAAGCCATAGTCAGCATAAAAGATGCAGCGCTGCAGTTGAGCCAGAAGTCCCAGCCTCCACAGCCTCAGCCGGGAGCAAAGAGCAAAGCGACTCCAGCCCTGCGGCCTCCCGACAAGAACACCAAAGCCGCCGAAGATGGCTTGCCCGGCCTGGATCCCGCAGTTGTAAGATCAGCCCTCCAGGCCGGGATAGGACGAGACCAATTGCAGAGCCTAAGCCAGTTCCTTGGTGGGAAGAAACCAGCCGTAGGAGACGTAGCAGCTTCCAGAGGTCGGACTCCAAAGGTCCGTTTCAACGAGCTAGGAGAAGTAGACGAAGAGGATGCAGAGGGTCCCACAGCCGAGCCTGCCCTAGGAGCCCCAGCAGATGCCATGCAGGCAGCTCTTTTGAAGCTGACGACAATAGCCGAGGGTTTGACCAAAAGCCGCAAAAAGTTGTCCTTGGAAGATTGGTCAGACGATTTGCCAGCGTTACAGGATTCGTCATCCTCCAGTTCATTTGTTGGGGGAAGCTCCAGGAAGCATGCTGCTGTGCTAGCCAGCCTCCGGAAAGCCTTGAAAGAAAACCCATCCGAGCTTTATCGTGTGATGGAATCCCGTATGCTGGACGACTTTGGCTCAGCCGGGACTGGACCAGGAGAGCCCTTCAGGCCAGGCACGTTTCGAGGCTGGGCAGAGCATCGCTCTCGAATCCCGAACATCAGTGGTACTGTTCGCCTCATCTGGGCAGTTTGTGGTGCTTTGGACTCCTTGAGGGCGGGCCGAGTGCCCGAAGCCCAGGCTCGCTTCCCCATGAACAACATCTTCCAACTTGCAGCTCATGGATGCAACGAAACCATCAACGCCACTGGATTCTCACCTTTTCAGTGGGTACGCGGAGGAGCTGATCGAGATCAACCTCTTCCAGGTCTTGACCCCAAGAAGATGTTTGAAGGTTTGTTGCACCTCAAAGAGAAAGCCAAAGCAGGATATGAACTTGAGAGCGCGAAACAACGCCTGTCAAAGCTCAACAACAGTGTTGGCAGGGCACCTCAAGTTTTCAAACCTGGAGATTTACTCATGCTTTGGCGTCAAAAGAACCGCCCAGGACGTGTGACAGGAGCTTGGGTTGGACCTATCAGACTTTTGCTGCAGGAAGGTGGAACACTGTTGGCGACGGGATCCACTTTGATCCGAGCACGAACCAATCAGGTTCGGGCATGCTCCAAGAATGAGGAGCTTAGTGCAATGCTTGAAGGAGCAGCAGTTCTGTCGACACCAACAACTGTCGACGCCTTGATGAAGCACTTCACTGGCAAGCACTATGTCAATGCCACCGGTGAAGTTCCCTCAGAACAACAACGACAAGCCAACCTACAAGGAGCCGAAGTTGCACTTGCTCCTGGATCAGATTTTCGGCCAGACTCATGGAAGATAGAAGTTGAAGGCCGTGAACGTTGGTTGGTTCGACAACACAATATGCCTAGGTTGACCCTCTTCATTCCTTCGAGAACACAAGCCTGTCCCATCGATGAAGCGAAATTGACAGGGAAGAGAGTCACCAAGGTGAAAGCCATGACCACTGGCGCTCAAGAAGTCGTCATTGAGGATGACTACAAGACCGACAATGCACCTCAACGACAACTACAAGAGCGATGGCGTGGCCAAACAAGGTTTCAAATCGAGGAAGATGTGAAGAGGCCCAAGATCACTCCGAAGGAGAAATCTGACAGGAAGAGACAAACAATGTCAACTTCTTCTGCGCCTGCAACATCCTCCCAGCAACAACCAGTTTCACAACCAGAGCATGATGTACAACCGCCACCAGTTCCCAATGAGTCTGGTGACGAAGAGGCGCTGCGGAGTGATGGAGCTCCAGCCGGTGAGATAGCCGGTCAGCTTTTGCCTGAAGTTCCTGAGATCAATCCCTTGACCACTGCTCTACGAGATCGCGGTGCGTCAGTTGTGGATGGAGTTCCAACTATGCGCAGGGATGATCAAAACCAATGCGCAGTGCCTGAATGTGCTCACCCTGGTGGACATGATGGACCACATATCGATGCAGAGGAAAAGAAATTTTCCTGGGAGCCTTACAGTGGTCGCGTGAACGCTCAGATGAGCGACGGTGAATCTTCTTCAACATCATCAGATGAGTCAGATGAACTGATTCCAGATGACCAGAACATAAGAAGCCGAAGAAGGAGAAGAAAAGCGACCCCTTCTATGTCTTGGAGATTCCGATGGAGGAGGAAGACATCCAATACCTTGCTGAGAAGCCTCGCAGAGCGACTGCTTGGATGTCAAAGAAGCTGGAATCTCGCTCCAAAGAGCTGCGCTGGAGCCAAATGCCCATAGAGCAGAAGTACCTGTTTGATGAGGCACAGAGCAAAGAGCTGTCTCAAGTTTTGACCTCAAAGGCAGTTCGCAGCCTGAGCCGACAGAAGGAGATGAACATTGATCATTCCAAGATCATGTCCATGCGTTGGGTGATGACCGTCAAAGCTGGCGGTGACGCAAAAGCACGTCTTGTCGTGCTGGGCTATCAGCAGCACAATTTGACGTCCGTGCAGTCTTCGGCACCCACTATGAGCCGAGTGGCAAGGAACCTTGTCCTCACCATTTGCGCATGCCTCCACTTTTGGATCGCCTCAGGAGATGTCTCATCAGCGTTTCTGCAAGCTTCACAAAGCCTTGAAGGCGAAGATCTCTACGTTTGGGCGCCTGCAGAACTGGCAGTACTGTTTGGAGCCTCTCCAGACAGACCCATCAAAGTTTTGAAGATCTGCCGTGCTTTCTATGGTTTGGTTCATGCTCCACGGAAATGGTTTGATCACGTGGTATCAACTCTCAAGTCTCAAGGATGGCAACAACTCCTTTCCGACCAGTGCACCTTCATCCTGGTCGACAATGGCCGCATTGTAGGAGCTTGCGGCATCCACGTGGATGACTTTCTGATTGGAGGCGACAGAACCAGTGAGAAGTTTTTGAAGGCAGAGAAGAACTTGCAGCAAGCCTATCGTTGGGGCAAAGTTCATTTTCTTTTGCTGGATGCGATTTGAGACAGAACGATGATTACAGCATTTCCATGACCCAAGAATCCTACGTTGAGAAGTGGTTGGATGAATGTTCAATTGAGAAGGAGCGAGAGGCCAAGAAGAACCTCCCTCTCAATGCTGAGGAGCTATCCCAACTACGTGGCATTCTTGGAACACTGGCTTGGAAAGCTTCCCAAACTGGACCTCAATATCAAGCTGATGTGAGTTTGATGCTTTCAGAGGTGAAGAACGCAACAATAGATACGCTTCAGCGAGCGAACAACCTGGTCAGAGAAGTGAAGCGAGACGCAAAGCAATGCCTACGATTCCCTGCATGGAATCTTCAACTTCAAGATCTTGCAGTGATCACGTGGTGCGATGCCTCGCAACACAACAGGCCTGACAAGTCTTCGACCTTAGGGCTGTTGACAGCCATTGGACCCAAAACCATGCTTGAAGGAGAAGAAGAAGAGATAGCCATAGTGACATGGCGATCGTCAAAGACACCCAGACAATGCCTTGGTTCCAACGGAGCTGAAACACAAGCAATCACTGAGGGCGAAGATGCAAACTTCAGAGTCAGAGCCATGCTTGCAGAGATGTTCGGCCACACTTTCAACGACAAGGCAGGCCTCTATGTCAAGCTGAAGAAACTGACCAATGGTGCAATCGTGATGGATAGCCGAGGTGTTTATGATGCGATGACAGGCAACATGTCATCACTCCACGGCGTACGTAGCACCAGAGCCGGATATGAACTGACATTGGCTGTGCGACAAGCCTTAGACATAGGCACACAGCTGAGATGGGTCAACGGCCTTGCACAATTGGCCGACTGCTTAACCAAGAAGAACGAGCGGAAAGTCATACTGCAACTGCTGATGGGCAATCAGCGCTGGAGACTCATTCATGACGAAAAGTTCGTATCTGGCAGAAAGATGAAGAAACAGGAGATGTTGAAGAAGATACGCGAGCAAGAAGCTCTCTTTGTATCAGAAGTGGCCAAGATGGCCAACGCATGCATGTGGCCATGGGACGATCATGAAGAGCCAAGAAGTATGGGTGATGAACAGATCCAGCTTCCTCTGAACACATGTCAACCAACATAACACAATTGACTCTTCATGTTCATTCCCTGCTGCCGCAACATACCTCTCAAACCAGGGAGGGACTTAGCGCTGAGAGCAAAACAGATTTGCTGTGCGAGTGGTCGCATATCCGTTTGAGCATCATTTGCAGGTGCAAGCACAAATCGAGAAGAGTAACAAGTGATCAGATTGGTTGTGCTACCAATTGCAACTAGGCTGAAACCTCCAGGTCCTACTGCGACCATTGCAGAGCTGTTGGTGGTGGTTTGTTCTTCAGATGTCTGGCGCCTAAATTTTCTGCAAATGTGGTAGGCAGGTGGGTTGGGATGAAAGATATCTCGGTTATCCCATGGATCAAGAATGGGTAGGATATGTTGTCGACATGAGCCCAAAAAAGCTTGGCAGCTGCAGGCAGTCCCTGAAGACTTTAAGAAACTGTAGTTACTGTAGTTCTTGTCCGATGGAAAAGAGTCATCGGCTTGTGTTCCCTGGTTTCCTTTGCTTTCCCTTGGTTTCCCTTCCTTTGGAGCTGATACTTCTAGATCTTGAACTGAAAACATGTCAGGGTTCTACTCTCCTGAGGCGAATCTTGTGGAGAGCAGCAAGCTTGGCGGTGAACAAGCCCTTCATAGCCTCAGCAGGCCCCTACGGAACCTAGCCATTTCTCAAACTGGGACCTGCATCACGGTGCAAGTGTCAGGATTCAATTGGATGCGACCGAACCCTGGAATCATGGTGATTCATGGTGAATGTACGGGGTAACTCTCCCAAAATAGCTCAACATTTCAGATTAGGGAATTGTGATGAGTTATGAATATTTATAAATATTTATGAATCATGATAAATTTACCCAGATATGTTGGATCTACAGCCGCATCCCTGCGCAGGTTCGGAGATTCCGCTGCCATTCGGCAACAAGCTACGATGCTTCTGACGAAGCCCGGGACCACAGCACACAGACACGGCACTGTCAGCGATGTGTAACCGCCCTCTGCATCTTAGCTAAAAAGTGGGGGTATCATGGCAAAACAGGCAGGTGCCACATCAGAATCCCACAATATCCATCAATATCAATATCCATCAATATCCCACACCTTCTGGATCCTTCTGGAACGTCTGCCTGTTACACTTGCAAAACGACAACTTACCTCCAACCATGGCTGGATGTTTGTCTCACAATTTGTTCCAAGGCTTGCTGTGGTGCTCAAGAAGTGAGGTCCGGTTGCCAAAGAGGTCTACGGTTACCCTCCGGGCTTGGAAGCTAACAGTGGGAGGTGAAGCCCAAGATGGGTTTTGGATCATTTGGATCTGGATGGATTTGGAATGGATTTGGACTGGAGTCCGAAAAACCACGAAAAACCCGAAGGGCGAAAGAGTCGGAAGTTCCTAGTGGAAAACCACGACATCCACGACGCAGCAAGGCCCATTGGGCTCCGGCTGTGCTGCCGGGGCAGTTAACGAAGTGATCAAGCTGGTCTTTCTGACCTCGTAAATGACTGTGTGGCATCAGTTGGAAGCTGGCAGATGCTGGCAGATCTCCGATGGAAGTTGAAATGTGGTGATCATGGAAGTAGTGTATAGATTCTGTGAGGCATTTTTTTTGGGGGGTATAGAGAACTGGAGGAATCATGGTGTTTTTTTGTCCGGGATTTTGTTCCATTTCTGAACATAACTACTGACTGCCTTTTTCATCAGGTTCATTCATGTTCATTCTACTCAAGCTTGCACAGCTGTACATGTGGATAGAGGGACCGATCAAACTGAGCCTGCCACGGCAGATTAGCGAATCCTACAGAATAGCAAGTTTACAAAGAAGCTGACTTCCAGCGACGTCATACAGATGTACATCTGAATTTGTTTGTATTTGGCCGCTGGGTTTTCTGCTGCGAATGTAGCAGGAAATCCTGCGAGGAGATGACTGGTCTTCAACAGCCGGATCCAGTCAGTCCTGGCCGTGCATGGCTGCGAAAGTAGCGAGACGAATGTGCTGGAATTCGTGGTTAGGTGCAAGTTTGCGTGGACAGAAATAGCGAAAAAAACATGCATCAGTGGCTGCTGACACTCAGAGAATGACTCTGGGTCAAACTTGACTCAATCCCTTTGCAAATACTTCTCTATCATTGGTGGCAAATCTAGCTGTCATCTTGACAGTGGTTCACGTTCACTCCAATCCGTTTCGTATGGTGGCTGTGTGTACCACCGTGATGGCATCATGTTCTTCTATGTCTCCAGATTTGTCCCTTACATCAAACTACATGCCGACTGTTCTTAGCAAACTATCTACTTGGTCTTTGTGCTATTTCCATTCCAAAAATCATCAAAAATCTATTGTAGTATATCATATCGCTGCACAGTCGCATGTTTTTTCTGGTGCTCTCCAGTATTTGATGTTCTTGGTGGTTACATATATACTTATCATCAGTATTATCATCATTATTTTCATTGCTGATACTATCATTATTATTTGTGTTCCGTTGTCATCGTATTGACAATGCTATGTATAACTATTATATCACTAGTCATTCCTTTATAGCTATTAACACTAGGTTATTGATATTAAGGTCATTCTGATGGCGAACCAAACATAGTCAGAAATTTGTAACCAAATAGATTATTTTGTGATCATATTTTTTACTATTAACACTATAAGTATCATTATTGTTCTTCAATGATATTATATAAGTTCATCGCAATCGATTACTAATATTGTCAGCAACAGATATTTATTCATTGCTACTATATGGATAAACATCATTATTGTCATTATTACTACGTACGTATCATTATTATTGTTCTTCAATCCAAATATCATAGTGATACCATGTCGTATACCATGTTTGTTACGCACTATGACCATGATGTCATGATAATACAAATGTAGTGATTATGATTGTTATTTGGATTCTCATTTGTTACCATGTGTTACGATTGTTATCAATATTATAATACTCATTGTTGAATGATAATATTTCCATATATATCCATCTTTGTGATTTGTTAGTAATTATAACTATAATATCCTGATATTAATTGTGACCAACTATAATGATATCATGATGATAATTAGTCCATATATCTCCAATCTTTGTTACTGAATAGTCACTAATTATGATCATTCAGTCCAAGTATTTCCATCTGACCGTTGACCCATTATCCGACGGGACACCTCTCGGCCCCAAGAGAAGAGCGCCCCCTGCGAGCGCGGCGGGGCCGTGGAGGTGGTGGGCCGTGG